AAGACGAGTAGTTTTACGCAAATGTCATATTACATTATCATCGAAAATTCTAATTTGCATATTCCTAATACGATGCGCGTAAACAAAACAAATCGACGATTTGCTATTACAAAACTAATTTTACGGTGTTGCAATCAGTCTTCGAACGTTCTCATACTTGTAGCAAAAGTTTAAAATAATGTTTCTAGACAGATACAGAGGGCAAACAAACAAAAATTATCGCTATCAGTAGGCATGGTCACGCACAACAAGCACATCATACACGTCTAATCAGCAAGTTTAATCAGCATCGACTCTTTTTGCTACTCGATGCACGAAGTTTGTTGGAACTGACGATGAGTAAAAACGGAGGAAGATGCGCGAACAGGGGAAAAGTACCAATCGTTGCGGAAGAGAAAGAACATCTGAGTAAACTGTAAACAATTCCAATCGCTTTTTCGAATGAATAATTTCACTAGCCTGGCTGAATGATGCCCGACATGATAAAGCTTGGTTGGAAAATACCGCTGCCGAAGCTAAGGTCAACTAAAGACCGTTCGAACAGTATCAAAACCAGAAATATTTCTGTTAATTCTATTATTGGATGAATATTCCGAGTATTTAAACGCGGTTGATTCCGATCTGTTTAATATCGGCGTTGCGGCTCTCGTTTGAAGTGAATTAAATTTTGAAAATTTCAGAATGCTGCCCAATTGCCAAATATTGTATTTTGAAATTAAGTCGCGAGAAATGATTCTCACTGAGCGTGATTAAAAATTTTACCTGGATTTCCTGATTGACGGTCGTCGAACAAAATTACGACGAAAAAATTACGCGCGCCTAAAACATTAATCACATTCGAAATTATATTCCTGAATTGTAATTTCGTAATTGCAATCGTAATTTTAATCAGTTCGCGGTGGAACGTTACATAAACGTAAATTCATCACGAGAGGAAACATTTGTTTTAACTTTTTTTTTTTTTTTTTTAATAAAACGAGGAAAACCACGAATTACGCAACAGAAACACATCTCTCATTCTCGGTATTTCCTCTTTCGCTTCAATTTTTATTATTTCGAAAAAAAAGCGACTTTTTGAAAACCACTTCCTTGCTCAAAAATAGAACCAAACGTATAAAACAACCCGAAAGAACAATAAAAACAATAGAAAACAATCCGTTCCTTTATTTCGTCGCGGAAATTCACACGCGCTGTTGAAAATGTCGGCGAAACTTTCCATCGGAAGCACGAATCGATGAAATATTTTTCTTTACTCTTCTTTTTGGTAATTCAATGCGAACAGTGAATGAGAATGAGTCAGATGTAGCAAGAAGATACGAATGAATTGTCAATGCCAAGGTCAACATGCATACAATATTAACAAATACCTACATACATGCATATGTATGCTGCGTGGGTGTTGAACGAGGATAGAATCGTGACAGTATATCTAAATTGCAGCCCGATATACGCGTTAGTTGGAAAAGTGTTTTCAGCAGAAAATTGATTTTCACGAAACGTTCTTGAAACATCTTCTCCGCCGGATGAATCACTCTACTGACTCAGACTATTGTTTAGAAACATAAAGTTCAGAAAGTGGCTCAAATCATGTTGTTAACCGAATAGAACTAGTATAATATACCACTGAAAAAAAAAAAAAGATATTTTCAATATTCATGTTCAGTTTCAATAGGTTACATTTAGCTCCAATGTCGTTTGGAACTGATAAACGAGCGAAAAGTTTGAAAGCTAACATTAGTACGCAATAAATGTGAGTTAAGTATTTAGTTATTTTAACAAGTTCGTACTATAAATAAAGTTGAGTGAAAAGTTCCATGCCACGAAACGAAATTAAGAAAATTATCAGCCTGCAATTGGTTGTTCGATAAGTTAGTCATCCAAGAAAAATTATTACCACTGTGCTAAATACGCGATCGCGATACACAGAAACATTGGCCGATACTTTATTACCGCGAGTAGTGAATTTTTACCAAGAAATTTTACTAGTAATTGCAGTCCAACGTTCACACACAGAAATTTTCAGAATATTCGTGTATTTAACTGATCACGTTATAAATAAACGTGAATTATAAATAAATAAGCTTGACAGAATAACAAAAAATTGCTTCCCTTAAGGCCTGTAGAATCCTTTTGATTAAAGCTCATAAAATGCACACGAACGCGTTTTGCGTTGGACACTTGTCCTCGAACTATAACTGATATTTAATACTACGAAAACCATTCGTGGTTTTCCATCGAGGTTCCAAGAAGATCTTTGTCGATTATTTTGCTGCGAATCGTAGAAAGCCAGTGAAAAGCTTTCAAAAGAAGATTTATAAGAACGAGGCGAGCGGATTGTAAAGTAGGTTAACGTAGAGGAGAATCGATCACGTGATGATTCCATTTCGCTATAGTTCGGAATTCGATATTAGAATTGACCGATGCATCGGAATCCATCTCATCCTCATGAACTAAGGCAAACTAAGTTATTATGAAATACCATCGCGGTGTCAATCGTGAAGAAATCCCGAGCGTGGACGAGAGCAGACGGCGAATTATATTTTTAACATATATCGTAGCCGGATATTTAGTGTCGGGTACGAAAATAAATCCCGTGGACAGTCGTGCATCGTCATAGAGTCTTCGCGAATTTTCATCTTTCCGCTGTGAGCTCTTCAGGAAACTATCGTGCCCAAAGTAACACAGTCGAGTGTGGATTTTATTTCATGGAAAATTTGAAGGTGAATATAAAGAGAGAAAATATTATATAAACGTGAAAAAATCCATATAAAATATAAGTAAACAAAATGTTTGTATAAATTTAATTTCTTCAATTGCGTTTTTAAATTTGCGTAAAAATCCGCAGGCTAATAATTAGAAACTAGCTCGTGTCTCAAATGACACAGAATTGAAACAAAATAAGTACATTTCACATTTATGTAAAATAAATCTCTTTTTCAATCGCGTTACGTTTCATCGTTTTGACTCGGAAACTAAACGTCGAATGTGAAAAGCTGGTCAGGTAGATAAAAATGTCAAAAACAGAAAATTTTATGTACGTAGATACAAGAAATGATTATTCCTGTATCTCCGATTTATTTTCTGATATAAAATCATCCCTTCTGGATCGTTCCATTATTTCGATCACGCGTATTGAGTTTACGATTGCGTTGCATTATACTTCGTTTCATGTTTACACGCCACCGACACGCGAGATAGTCCCTATAATTATCGATTGACACGAACGTAACACGCGGAAAGATCGAAGAAAGCACGCGCGTACGCTCGTACGAATCGCATTTTATTTTAGCTTGTGGTTTTATACGTCGGCCGAATCGGATTGTACATCGAGTTACGTCGAGTTTCCGCGATTTCCAGCAGAATTTTCAACTTCTCGGAATAAGCTTATATGTGATATTCAATCAGTTGAATAGATGTATGTACATATTCAAATAGATTTAACCCAGTTTTGCATTTGGAGTCCACGTGACAGTAGAGACTCGAATTATTTAACAGAAGAAATCACTATAGTTTTCTGAGAAACTAATGTGTCAGTTTCGTGTATAGTTGATACTTGTAATAGAATAAAATTATTAGTATGAAAAGTATTTATCAAAGTAGTAATGTGATAAAAGAAAAGAAATCTTTTTCCAGAGTTTTCTGCATCAAAAAATTATTGTATATTTTTCTAGCGACGCAAATAATATCTCAAGCACAATTGCTGGATACTCTTTGTGCGCGTTTATTGTCATTTTTCCATTAAAAGTTCGTTAGCAATATAATTAATGACAGGCAAAGCAAAAAGTATTTTCGCAGCAATCTATGTTACATGTGCATATTTATACAAAAATATACCGCAATTACATTATAAAAATCGTTAAAAATATTCCATAATACTCGTACATAATATTTATTTTTTTGTACAAGTTATCATCAAATTGCTCTTAATTGAAAATACTGATTTTAAAGCTTAGTATATTTTAGAGTACAAAATAATCATATAAAGATACATACACAATTCATTAAATTGCTTTTAATTGAAAATACTGATTTTAAAGCTTAGTATATTTTAGAGTACAAAGTAATAATATAAAGACACATACACAATTAGTATAAATAGTACATTCTGTTCAGTTACGAATAAAACACAGTTGCAGTAGGGAAAAAGTTAAGTGGTAGAACAAAATTTATTTTCTTAAGACCTCAATGTTTTCTAAGTATAACGATGGGTTTGCAAAGTACACTTGTACATTTTTACACGACAGCTACGCACACATTTTCAAGCAAAATATTTTTCACAATATCGAAATAAAATATTCAAGAAAACGAGTATTCTCACGTTGAATTTAGAAAAGGTGGGAAAGAACCACCGTTTCATATGTTAAAAGAAAAAAAAAATAATACACTCCAAATTTAAAAATTAAAAAATTATTAGTTCAAGTGTAGACAAGAGCAAACTTTGAACTATAACACCTGAGACGACCTGTTCCTCGCAAAGAATGATACTAGAGCTCGAAGCTCTTGATACTCGATACTGATGAACAATATACACGAACAGCTTTGAATAATAAATCAAATGTCAGGGATAAATGAAATGCTTCATATTCGTCATTCCAATGTCTCTTAGCTAAACGACCAACTTTAAATTCGTTAATTCAAAAATAATCTATCTATTCCATCACTTTATTATAAATATAGTTTTATTATAGTAATATCATGAATAAAGTATACTCTACATTACATACAATATTGCACAAGTGATTTTTAACAACTTGTAACAAGATATTAACAGTAATAATTATAACAGTATTTTAGTTATGTTTGAGACAGATGCATTATTAATAATAATAAAATAGCGATTAAAACAGGTCGTATTAAAAATCATTTTACGTTAAATTTCGTATCTCCTCTATGTATACTCCATTTAAACACGAAATTTTTCAATTGCCCATTATTTCGATCAATCAATGAAAATCTAAAAATCTGCAGCGAAAAAATGTATGAAAAAAAAAAACACATACCTTTCGAGACAGAAGGCCAGCAGTCGGTGTACGATCGTTAGGATCGGACTCGGGGATCGGTTCCTTCGGGTTGTCCATGTGCATACCCGGCCATCCGACCCAGACTCCATTTCCGCTTATAACCACCGGTGCTACCGCTGTGACAAGACCTCCGGCACTAAAATGTAAAAAAAAGCGTACCAACATTATCAAAAGAAAATGTCGCATCAGGTAGAGAGCAAAAAGAAAAGAAAAAAAATGTCGATACAAAAGTGTACCCATGAACTTTATGAACGATGATTGGTGTGGCTTTAAGATGCGAAAGAAATTGTAATAATAAAGAGTTAGAAGAAATAAGATTTTGATCAAGTGAAGGAATACGATATTAATTCAATGCAATCGGATTTAATATGTCTAGTAGGTCACGAAACACTTGTTAATTTTGAATAAGATATTTGTACACGAGGACTCTTGAGAAAAAAAAAAAAAAGACACTATTTCTATTGTAAGATATTTCAGGATTGTATAAAACGTAGAAAGGGCATGTTATTAGTAGACAAAATATATTTCTTTACACGTTCCCCACCAATCGAGTCTGAAACGCCTTACGTAACACACGCAACTTGATAAAATCAGTACTATTTCATAACTTAAATTGTTTTGCGACATAGTCTAATATCCACTGATCTAATATCCAGATATATATTACGCAGATACGACGGTACACAAATGATAATGAAAAACATTAGGATAGTGTAGAAATTTCTTTCTTTCGTAAACATCCAACCTATCAGTCCTTTTTCGTAAAATATCCAACAGTCTTCGTCTTTAACCAAAAGTGTATCGTCTGAGTAATAATAATAAAGATAGCGATAGTGATGACAGAATCTGTGAAAAAAGAGAAGCACCCCGGTACGTAAATATAAAAGTTCACCGAGTGGCCGCCATCGGCGTATCGAGCCGATAAGACAGGGATAATATTGAAAGACGTCTTCGATCAACTCTGTAACTGTCTGCCGGAGAACGCACACACATAAAGTCGTGATATTTACATAATGACAAATACATGGCGATTGTGTCAATCGCACAACGCATCGTATATTCTCGGTTTTATATAATCGACTCTGCCAACCACCTTTAACCGTTTTATCGTTATTATGAAAATTAATCTATAATAGTAAAAACAATTGCGAACGTGACGTGATTCTCGAAACGTGGAAAAATGGCGATGTTGCGATACGTTTCGAAATCGTTTTGCACATGCACAGCAATACTGTGTCTTGAATCTTTTGCAGAATTGCTAAAGACCTCGAGAAAAATATCCTGTTAAAATACTGGAGTACAGATTCACGTTAGTATTCAAGTTTCTTTTATACAAATCCTTTAATTAAGAAGGACCTTTTTAATTAGAATTTCTTGATTTACGTCTTTCGTCAAAAAAATTCAGATATGCATAGTTTTATATTCTTCAAACAATCAAGAAGGAACTTCTTAATTAGAATCTCTTAATTTACGTCTTTTATCAAAAAATTCAGATATTTTTGCATTCCTCGAACAATATTTTTTTATAAACATATCCTTCGAAATACCAGTAAAAAGAAATGAATTTATTTGATAATGAATATATTATTTAAATCACAAGTAAAAAGTGAACGAATTGTAATAAATCTTTTCATTCGCTTCATCACTATAAAATATCCAATGCCGTACACTGCTAAAAACACTGATCTATTCTTCATTGAACAAAAGATTGAGAAACCTAAAGCATGTCCAGAAATCTTCATCATCCACTTTTGAAGTACCCTCTGTTAACAATCCTGTTCTCATGTTCGTTCTAACTAATCCTACGTATGCAACAGCTTGTTTTCTTTTTATTTTAATTTATTTTTATTTCTTTATTATTTATTATTATTTTATTATTTTATTTTTGTTTTAATTAAAAAGAAGTCGTAGTCGCAGACTACGATTAATTTCGCATTTCCTAAGCATGCGTGCATCTGGATGGATCCTTGATTACACAAGGATTACACGATCCTTGATTTCCGGGATGATCTTGGCCTACATATCTACCCCAAAGTCATCCACATGACCGTAGGGTCGAACATGAACCGACTACGTCACTGGCACGTCATAATTATAAATTTGTAATGGAACTTGGCTGTCATTCAGCCAACGACTAACAAAGCAGCTGATCAAACGTCTGGTTGGTCGTTCGCCGAAGACTAGGTCAAATCGGAACTTTAGTTTCCCCCTTGCAACTCCAAATTCCTATTATTCCTACTTTCGACAGGTTTACACCTTCCGACTTCTAACACGGGTTTGACTGACCATTGTATCGAGCAAAGAAAACTGAATTTTATAAATTGCGAAACAATCTCATTTTGTCATCTAACGAGTTTCTGGTATAAATTCATATATTTCGCTTCATGAATGATACGACTTTTGGAAAATTTCAGATCGTATAAATTATTTATCCCTACGTCGAAAGTAATTTCTACGGAGCACAATAGAATTTTACTTTAGCATACGATTAACACGAAACACCTGACTTCACAAATGAATTTTTTTTATCGCTCTCCTCAATTGAGATACCTAAGTGAAATTAGATTTCCATCGGATCTTTCTAAGATCCATTTGAAAATCTGATGATTCTGAAAATTCCCAACCATCGAGATAAAATGCCTCAGTCACTGATCAATCAAGCAGTTGGAACCTCTGGCTTTTTTCTCTCTACTGTTTCCCTAAGGAAACAAATTGCAATCCAATAAATCATATCGAGGAAGGTTGAAAAGCATCGTTAATCTCATGGTTATTTATCGCGTGGATGATTGATGGGTTTTAATGACAGATGAAAAACACGTGACCAGAATTTTGTTGACCAGGAACGTTGGTGGTATTATACCAACACGGATGCAATTGATATATGCTATTATTACCACTGGATTACTGGGATACGATCTATTTTGAGAACGCCACGACTTCAGCCTGGTACGTACATGCGTTTCAACTCGAGTGAAGCACGCTCGAATCTCATTACTTGTGCTCTTCAGTATGTAACGATCGCGTTCGAAAAAAGTCGAACCTCCCACGATCTTGTTCACGACGTATCAGGACTCTCGTACGGGACGAAGAAGAAACAAAGCACTCGTTTGACACGAATCTCGATTGTTATTTTTAAGCGTACCTGATTTGAACACGGAGTTATTTACGTTTCTTAGTCCTTGTTCAATTGGACTGATACATTGCGAGACATTGTTCCAAGTAATTTAAAAGACACGTTTTCGAATAATTTTGGGAAATTATTACAAGTCTGGAACATCATTACAAATTGATTAAATGTTGCTTCATTTTATTCTCTAGAATGCCTCTTCATTTTTTTTCGATCTCGACGAAAAAATATAGTTTTCAATGTGAATTTAATTGTTCAAAGATAATTAAAAATCTTCTAATTAATCTGATTAATTGACCACGTCTTAGACTATTGCCTTTTTTAAAAGGTAAAAAGGAATGAGGAGTTTGAAACCCCCAAGGATCACAGTGAAAACCTCGACAAAGAATTTCACCAAGAATTCAGTCATCTAGTAGATCATTCATTTAAATGTACAACATTCTCCAAATTATTTGAACAATTGCTTTACGTCTTGAAGCCTACGTCATAAAATACCAACAGATTTTTATCTAACTTTCTATTTACAGAATGATTTATCAGTACAAGAAAATTTACTCCAAATCATATGCATGCTGCAAATTGAATTGCAAATAAAAATAGATCGTGACATTTGAAGCGCGAATGAAAAGAACACACACTAAAAAAGAAAGAAAAAAATTTACGACAAATGTTCAATTGCTATCTAGAGAAATTCTCGTCTAAAAATCTAAAAAATCATTAACAAAAAGAAGAATCGTATCACACAAAAGTAAAAATCAACACACGATCATATATCAGTTTCAGTAATCCAAATATCATCAACAGCTTAACGAATGCATTTAAAAAAAATCTTTCTATGGTATCAAGTAACCAATATATCAAGAAACATATAAAAATGTCAAATAATTACCTGACGTAATAATCTTTTATCTATAAAAAAAAAAAAAAAAAAAAGGAAAGTGTGAACGTAGGCACGCACACTGTGCATCTAACTCGAAACAATAACCAATTGCAACGGTGACGAAATTCGTGTTTTTCCACAACATTTATTATGACTTTACCATGCGAATCGAGGAAGTAACGACTGCGACAAACGCAAATAATATATTACACAGCGCACGTAAAGCGCGCAGATGGGCACGCGGAAAGCACGTGGTGAATACCTTGTGAATGAGTACGCGTGCTCGAGCCTACGTATGTACGTATGTTGCCGCTATGTTTTTCTTTTTTTATCGTAAGCTACTTGAGAGATGACTCTTATCGTTATTATCTGAGGATATTCCTAGTTATCGAACATATCCAGCCTCGTCGAAGAACAAGAGTAATTAACAGTGCCGGAAGATTTTAAAGATCAACTTGAATAGATATCGTTATCAAATAAATATATCATACGCAACAATGAAGAATCGTGAAAAAAAAGAAGGAAGAACACTTGTAGATAAGAGTGTTTAACGAGTGCAACGTGATTGTTTTTTTTCTTTTTCTTTCTTTCTTTCGTACAACGTGCCAGAAAACTTCCATGGAATTTTTGCTTTTCGCCAAAATGATTATGCTATCGTTCGTGTAACTTGTTTTTGTTTACTATTGATTTACTTGCATCTCAATCTTTTTCATTCTCAGACTATAGAATACGTAGGTAGCACGAGCATTGACAGATGTTGAAATATCTATCGTAAAATATAGAGACGTCTAATAACACATGTAATAACACGACGTATGTATATTTGATGTCTGTACAATGGTGACACATTTTACTTTCATTTATTTTTAGCGGACCGGACGACGAGTTAACACCCATAATATACATAAAAATATCGTTAAGTGCCCATTATTTCACCGCTCGTGTAGCCACAGTTTACATCGTTACGATTTCACTGTGCCATTTCATTTTGGCTTCATATCTCTCGTGATGTAATACGCGAAATTACAACAACATTACTTCCAAGATGATACACTCAGATATAAAACTAAAATTGAAATGCACAGTGTCGTTACAACGTCGTATCGTCATGTCTATATTAAACTTAAAGCCAAATCACACAGAGACCGATTATAAAGAAGAGTAGGAGCTCTGCAATTTGTTATTTTTTTTGCAGCAGATTATTTGTTTCTATCAGATCATTTTTTTACGATTTCACATGCCGTCTAAAAAGACAGTTTATATTTCTAAAACGATTTTCATCTTTTTGATTAATTATTTCAATTATTGATCGTGCATCGTTAATCTACTTTTCGTCTGTTATTCATTAATAAACGATGCCGTGATTCACGCAAAAAATAGCCAGATAAGATTCTCGACTTATGTCATTGAAATAAGATAATGGTTGTCTTCTTTGCAGACTGACACCCGTTTTGAAATACACCGAGACACAACAAACACCTCGAACAAATCGCACACAGTCGGCTTCAAACAGAAACAAGGTTGTGCTCGTGCGAAGTCAGAAACTGTGATTTATAACGTTTGTGATGTTCGTAAATTACGAGAATTATTAAATTGTCGCGAAATGATTAACTCGATTGTAAATGCGAGAAAATTCAAAACGTGCACACACGTATACATCTCTAGTTACGCATTCTATTTCAGAAAGATATAATATTTACTTGACAACAAGAAGGAAAAAATTATGGAAACTATCAAGTAGCAGTGATTTCAGTATCCAACAGAAAAAAAAAAAAAGAAAACAATTCATGAATTTTATTTCATTACTTTGTCTCGTATTATCTCGGAAGATATTCACAAATTTTGCTCCATCATTCCGAATATTTATAAAAACTCATCCAAATGTTTGTTACCGAATTAACGAAAGTTTATCTTGTTGACTGCGTGTATGCGTAAAGATATTTAGCGAGAGCTTCTAAAAAAAAATGTCGGTTATCTTTCGCCTTCTGTCGAAGAAATAAAAAAAAAAAAAAACTTGATAAAGATATACGCACGCGACATATTTTTCTGGCCACCGAATTTCTGTCGTCGCGAAGTGGAGCAAACTCGAAAGCTCTTGACAACAGGGTGACTCAATGGGTCGGTTGGGGGATTCATCGATCCGGAGGGTGAAATGCATCGAGTTCCACGAAACGTGTTCTTACGAAAAATTTCGTCAGCCCGTCAGTCCTATATAAGTGCGAGTTCTCAGACGTGTAACACACCACGCGCGATGTGTAATCGTGTACTATTTTTTCGTGGACCATAAATAAACGTTGCAAGTAAGATCGACATGCATCGATCAGCTAAGTCACAATTGATAATTTTACTTTACCACGCGGCTATGTGTAAACAATATATTGCACAAAGAATGATCTAGAGAGATCGTTTGTTGAGATTACGATTGAATTTTTCGTCCTATATTTAAAACGTACTCCGTCGTGTTATAATTTAATTTGATGAAAACAGTCCAACGTACATGTATAAAGATTAAAATTAGAAATTTATAGTTAATAACAGTTCCTCAACTTATGTACTAAAAACTTACGCAGCACGGACTGAAATAAAATGTCGCGAGATTGCGAGCAGGCCGACTAGTGACGGTATAATCCATTAATCTACGCAGATGTTTGGTCGCTATGCCTGGACCACAAAGGACTGATCAGTAACGATCTAATCTACTTGTACGTTATATACGGGTGTTGAGCAGTCGCGCGCACAGTAAAGGGCTGACGAGTAACGATCTAAACTACTCAAGTCTATACTGAAGTTACGAAGTTATTTGAAATTCTTTTTTTCTCCAATGTTACTATATCTTTTAAACAATGACATTCAATAAACATTTTTTAAAATTTAAAATACTATGTTGAAATAAAATTTAATTGACAAAAAAAAATATATATATCGAATTGGCAAGATGAACATTTTAGAAAATATTTACTGTTCAAACATGTTTGAGTAGGAATAGGAGACACAAACAAGACAATTTATCGAACTCGATCGATTACGTCCAATCACTACCACTGCTAAAAATGAGCGAAAGAAATTCCAGCCAGCATTGCGATCAAAAAATGAAGTAACCGATTACACGTGCTAAACATTAAATAATCTATCGCCTTTAATCAATTCAGTCGATCAATTTTTTCTGCAGTTGGCTGCAACTGGAATGAAAGACAGTACAGAACCAGCCCAACAATATTCTCCTCCAAATATTTGTCCGTAAATATGAAAAATATAGTTTCAGCAGCTGTATTCGACATATTAACAAAGAAATTGAATTAATCAACAGTTACACAAACCGAGGGAATCGGCGACCCTGTGTTTCCCCCTTGCGTCAACACGTCCGCCGTCAATATTTCTATCGGCGTGTTTACGCAACAGAATAAATTACAACGCGATCGCATATTCATTTAGAGAAACACATATTACCAACCTCGTTGATCCTGTATCCTTCAATAACGTAACGACTCGCAAATTCTACATCATGGTTCAATGTCTTTTTCGTGGCCGACTCTTCTACATACTCTCTCTAGCTCGAATTGAAATTAAATATTCGACGTGACAGCTGAAAAAACTTTTGGAACAAAAGCTGAGGTTGGAATTGCGAATTGAAGAATTCATGAGATTAAAGGGACACAACATTCAAGATCCATCCGAGGAAACGTGTAACAACGATGTGGTAATATCACGTTCCGTCCGCGATCGAATCGCGTTGCAATGACCAACGAGCTGCGTGTGTGCCCACGCGTGCATTCATCACGCAACGGTGAAGCGCGTTCACGTGTGCGTGACAGGTAAATAGAGGGAAAACGAGGCAATAAATCAAGCGTAAGTGACGAAGCACGTGAACAAAGGGAAAAAGAAGAACGTCGAAAAAAAGGGAAACGTAAGAGAAGGAAGGAAACGTAAGAGGAAAGCTACTTACTCTGACATGGTACTAACCTGGCCTTGCGTTCCAGCTGACCGGTCACCTCGTTCCTCTTCAGCACGAACGGCAACCTGTTGCTCACAACGATCATGCTCCCGTTGGAGGTGAAGCTTCCAGGTTCTGTAGACATTTTGACGTTTTTCTGATCAATTGTCGCAAACGTTGGGGAAAAAGAATGGCACCGCGAGAATGAATAATAAGCGTCGCGCGACTCCGCACACGAGCGTCTCTCCTCTTTCTCTCCTCTGGCTCGTGTTCTATACGCGCAGACACCGGCACGACGAGCGCTACTCTACTATACCAAGTGTCGCGTGTCACGTGTGATCACGTGCTGTATGCGAAACCGAAGTCGAAGGAGAGCCGCGCCGGTTAGTCGATCGGTCTGGCTAGTAGTCTATTTCTCCTCGTCGTCGAGCGCCGAGCGAGATGACACCTCTCGTCGTTCCTCGTGCTTGTTTCCCCTTTACAGCTGCGCTTCTAACGTGGCTCGGGTGTCGCGTGCTCGCGAACAAGAACAGTCTCTCGTCCGCCGCTTTCGCTTGGCCTCCTCTGCCTTTCGCCTCTTCTATCTTCGCCTCTGCTCTGTTCCTTCCTTCCGTTTCGAGTGGTGGTGAACGAGCAATTTTCTCCCTCTCTCTCTCTCTCTTCTTTCTTTTTTCTATCGTAATTATTCGTGATATGCTTGATTAAGTTGTAGTGACCGACGCAGCTCGGCCCTCTCTATCTTTCTCTCTCTCTCTCTATCTCTGTCTCGCGCTTAAGGGTGGCTCGAATGCACAGCAGCACCGAGAAATAATGCAGGACAGAAATAATACAGAAGGCAAATCAGATGAGGGGAGAATATAATGGGAATAACGGGAGACGCAAATCGATTTACAGAGGGTGCAAGGAACAATGAGAATCAGTGAAAGCTTAAGAGAAAGAGAGCAAGAAAGGTCGTTCAGCGGATGGAGAAAGAGAGTGGTTGATTGGCCCGTATGACTGTGCCGTGGTGCGAGACCGAAGTAGCACTGAAGTAATAACGCCGCGTTCCCCTGAGTTTATTCGTGTTAGCCGTCGCGAGGAATTGGTCCAAAGTGCGTTCTTTCTACGATAGTATCAATGACGGGGCCGCGACCTTTTGGCCACCCCGCAGTTTCCCCTCGTACAGTCAACCACCACCACCTCCACCATCATTATCCTCCTCGCCGTCACTACCACCATTTCTACACTCGAAAACACTACCTCATCGTCATCATACGTAAACATACAGTGTTTCTCCTCCTTCGTTTCTCTTTCTCTCTCTCTCTCTCTCTTTCTCCTTCATTCTCTCTCTCTTCTTCTCAATCTTCTTCTTTCCTTCTCTTTCTATGACGTGTCGTCGCATGTCGTGACAGACGATCGAGGGTTATCTCCTCTTATCTTTTTAATTCTGGGATAACACTTGCCAATGGGACATCATGTACGCTGTCAGCGTCGCGACCAACTGTACACGTTGTACCGGCGTTCGACTGTCAACATGTACGCGACAGATAACTGATTCGTATGTAATACACTGCCGCTGTATCATTGACTCTTTCGTCCTTCAATGTTCGTGAAATAATCCGTCGTGTCGCGCTAAACACAGCCTGATTGATAGAGACCGGCTGGTGTCAATCCGACCGCAACTCGACGACGAGCAGTCTGTCTGCGGAGCCGACCAATCGCTACTCCTCCTTTCGCCTTTTCTCTCATAGTGATCGCATAAAAGGATACCGTGTCTCTCTGCTATCGACCGGTGAGAAACGAAAACAGCGTTACGACGCTGATTTTTCATCCTGGAGGTTAGAAAACGATATTACAATGCTAACACGATTGTCACATGTGTATTTACTAACCCGAACAATTTAAATAATTTGTCTGATTTATATCGAGAGATGGCGAATTCTAAAAATTCTCTTTTTTTTCTCGTTATACTTTCTATTGGAATTTCTGACCTCGTCCTCGTGCAAGTAAGTACTTGGGAACTTGTTTTTCGTTGATTAAAGTCGAATAAAGAGAGCGATTAAAGAGGTAATTGCGTAATTAGCAGAACGACGTAAGCAGAGAAGCTGGAGAAGCTATAGCGAACAAATTTGGGGAGGTTTGACATTCTGACCTTGAAAATCTTCATTAATGCCACTGTCGCGCGTGCCTTTTATGCAGATAAGTACGAGTATCAAATTGTCTCACTGTGACGTATCATCCTGGTAAATATTTGAAGTCAACTTTGTTGAAATTACATACATGCATTTCTCGTTTCCTCAAGATAAACGAGACAGAGGTACTATGTACATTGGAAATGTTTCGCGAAGCTTTATCCAATGTTTGGAGATGCATGACTAGTAACAACGAATATTTAATATTCAGCAGTATGAAAAATTTGTCAAATGAAAAATAAAGGAATCCGTTCACACAATGTATTTGTGTTGATATCGTAGCTTTGATATCTCTGTCACATGACGTAACAACCATTTTGTTTAGCGTTAAATCCAGGGAGGAAGAATCTATCGATGATCTGAATAAAGCAATAGTTAATCTAGATTTCGGTTCAAAAGCTTACTTTCGTAGAAGCTATTTTTGAAGCCACAGTGATGTTATCACGTTATAAAATCTGTAGAATTTTTTTTCTTAATAATTATACTTATTGTGAAAATAAATGTGTACAAGTCAATTGTTAGAGAGACTAGAAACATGTACTTACATTTTCACTTTGTTTCTTCTTATTGGCCTACGTGGCACGATAGCTATAATTGAATCACATAGATTTCAAAACGATACGAAAAAAAATTTTTAATTATATAATTCCAAATGTAACTGGTTTTGCACCAGTTATTGGGGATATGAAACGTCTTGAAACAATAATTAATCGTAAGACATTTACATTTATCTAAATAAATAGCAATAATTGAGACATTAATCTATATCTTATGCACAAACAACAGAAAGACTTTAACTTTTGCGAACACAAAATATATTGAGAGGAATAAGACTTCAAAATAGCTTCAACAAAATTTTATCAATGTTTGATAGCTTTTACTATGCACAGTGAACGAAAAAAATTCTCTATTTATTTATTACTTTTTTTCTATTTATTACAGGAAATTTTGTTTCAGAGAAATTTGAATGTCGACCGATTCTTTTTCTCCCTACATCATTAGTATCATTCCAAGACACGGTTAAGATTATTGGAAAGTACAAATGTACTTCAAAAGCAAACTAAAATGTAGAACAAACAACTTAGTATTGGTTCAAACATTCATTGGTAGAAACTTGGAACTATAGGTATCTCTATCATCCTACAATGTACATACACGTACATAACCGTGGAAATACAATCGTTATACTCTTCTTCATTTACGTATGCAGTTTCTGTTCTCCAGAGCAGATACGAAAATTTGACAAGATTTTGTAACAAAAGACATTCGTCAAATAATCTGCAGAACCGATATTCGAGACATACATACAATAAATAATAATGTAAATTCACCGGAGAAAAATATTTACTTTTGCCAACTTAATTTTATATTATCTCTAAGTACGACGATAATACTACGGACTTGGACGAGCTTCTTGAAAAATCGCTACTCCGTAATCGTAAGTCACATTTGTTATATGTGTTCACACGAATAAATGAATTTAGTACGAACGTTTAGAATTGCAAACAATCGCATTTTGAACGAAAATTTGTTTTTTTTTTTTCTCTCGATTTTGCACGATAGATGCGAGTTGTAATTGAAGAGCTCGTGATAAAAAATAATCCTTTTAAGAAACTGAGCATACAATATACTGGAATCGATATTGCAGAAAATGATTTATATGACTAATTTATTGTCGTATAAAATTTAACCAAGAACTTTTAATAAAATCTTTATTAAAATCTTCGTCACGAGTTTTACAATTTTATGATTCAGTTACATACAACTCCTTTGCGATGTAACTACAGACGCGTCTACAATAAGTTGTATAGTATAATGAATATTTTATTTGAAAAGATTGAAATACACATATTGAACAAAAATTAGAAGTGGTCTTTCCCTCTTTTTTTGAAAGAAACAAGCATGGACAAACGGTCGTTTTTATTACAAGCCCTTCAATTGTCACAAATTAAATAACATAAATATTATTTTTTACGATAAATGTTCGAACACTTTCGTGAGCCATTGTGAATCGCATTAATCTGGTTGATTCTATAAAGAATCCCGGACTTTTCTGCTAAAATACATGTCTTGACGTTTCTCGAAGAGAGAAGGGATAAAAAAAAAAGAACGTTATCGTCACGTTATCGTCACGTGTTAGTATTAGCTAATAACAAGACGGAGGATAACGAAGAAAACTGGCACGCGTCGCGCACGCGGCCCCTTATTCCATGGTAAAAAAAAAAAAAAAAAATCGTTCCGCTAGAATTTAACGTAGTTGGGAGACAAGTGTCGAGTTGCAAATAATACACAATTGATCATATTATATACTCGGTTCGACCATGAGGAACTGGTAAAAATCAACGACGCATGGACGGAAATTAGACGGCTGCATCATCATCTAAACTTAGTCTATTTAAAGTACATAATACCGAGATGAATCTATATTTTTCGCATCGAGACACATGTTGCACAACATACTTTAGTATTTCCCATGTACGTGCTACAGTAGTTTTAATAATAAATTGATTTCAATATTTTTATAGATCAAATGTATCCGCGCTACTCAGAACAATCGTAGTTTTTATACTCATGGTATTTTTTTGTTATTCAAAATAACGTGTTATTATTTTACAGAATTGGTTGAATTTTTTATGTCGCGTATGAAAGTAATAATGTGAAAAGGCAAATGTCAAAAATGTCATGTTACAAAGACACGTGGATAGAGCATTAGCGATGTTTTGTAACGTTTCGTAACGTTTCGTAACGTTTCGTTACGTTTCGTTACGTTTCGTTACGTTTCTCCATAGATGGAGCTGGTCGTACGGTATATTTACATAAAGTCATAAATAAAGAAGAAAACTATAGTTATTAACTGTAATTTATTTTTTATATTAAATATTCTTCCGGATTCCAAAAGATTCGTAACTATTACGAATTTCGGGTCTGATCGTAGTACTTCGTGAAATTTCGGTGAAATTCGACGAACTTCGGCTTAATTCGGTAAACGTAGCATGTGCGTCGAAAATAAGCGCGAAACTGGTATGTACATTTTTTTTATTATTACATATATAGAATAGGTCGGAAATATACATAAACAAGAAACATATAGTACAAAATATTTAATTTTCTACAAATTAATTTTATCTAGTATATAAAAGGGCGTAAGATTCTTAATATAATTAACGCTATAATATTTAGTTTCCTTAAATTTTTTCTGCAAAGATGATAATTTAATATACTTAAAATATCAAGAAAATATTAGCATCAATTGTGTAAATACTTGTTTTATGCAATTTTACACCTGCACAGTTCTCTCAATAATAAATACCAGAAAAAAAATTAATGTAAACGATGAAAATATAATTTAGAGAATCAATACATTCGAAAGGTAACATTTAAAAAAAAATAGTGTAATTCGTGTTTGGTAAGCATTGAGAAATTGTATTAAAAGTTAATCAAAATTACAAAAGATACGCTTTTTGAAAACAAATACATTTTTATGTTTTAATAAATAAATATATGCAAGTTACGTTTATAATGCAATGAATTGCATAAATATGAATAACTTGAACAAGTCTTAATATAGCACTGTATTTTTTACAGAAATTTCAAAAACACAATGTCAAAAATAATAATAAGAACAGAGACTGCAAAATTCTATTCAATTCTGTTTCATGTGTCGATTATATTTGCACACATAGAAAACGCAGATATTCTTCAAATTGAAATATTTTCTAAACTTTTATTGTGAAAAGCGGGTTGAATTTACTATCACGAAAGAATCGTTTAACCAACAAATGGCTGACGTCCTGCACGTTGAATGTTTCAATGTACATACGATGACAATCATCGTCAATCACAGTCAAATGATTGACGTACGCACGAATGACCACAAAAAACAATAGAATATATAGAATGACAGGAACGAGAAACACAATGTATGCGCCTAATTCAAATCGTTTTGCTTTTGTAAATTTAATACATCCTTATCCGTAACAATACGACATTTGCACCCACCTCAAAAGACAAGCTTCCTCGTTTTATATATATAAACGGCAATATTAAACAGGCTATTACGATAATTGTTGTTGATATTTTGTTAAAGAGCTCGATACTAATTCGCGCACTCACATGTATACCGGCAATCCTCCGGTACTGGCTAGTGTTTTTACGAGAGACGTTCTTTCGAGAAGGTACCACTGGTAACTGGTTCCTTCTTCGCGAAGTTTCGGATAGCTGAAATTGCAGACCAAATCGATTGTTATGGCCTACAATAACTAACCGGCAACTAAATAAGAAATCGTAGAAAATTCCCTAGGAAATGTTGCAAATTTTTGTACCTATAGTTGAATTCCCATTTACAAATATAGGATCTTGATGTTGCTTTACGATACGAATGGCACAATAAAATTGATGTAGATGACATATATTATCTTTTTAAAGATGGAAAAACCTTTGAGTTTGGACACTTAAAGACTACTTGTTATTATTTAAATAAATACTTGCTTTTTTGCTTATGTCATACATTTTTCATTAAGAAACAAGAAATCAACGTCCAACATTTATTATTATTATTATTTGTGACATCTGTCAAATGAAAGTTTGCTTTCATAGAAATTTAAATTGGCTATCCTGTAAGCGTAAACTAGATACTGTACAGAAAATTATATCTTATTTTTAAACAACTAAGAATGATATATTAATTTACATTATATTTCTGTTATATAATTACTTCAATATTTAGTGTGTAATATGTATTCGATTATTTTAAGAATCATCTTGTAAGCAAAATTGTATATTTATTGATTTGCAAAACTACTAAATTCAAACCTTATAGAAGTATCTAGGGGGTAAACTCAAATCCTACCAATAACATTACGAGCTACGCAGTTTTGACAGCACATGTATAACCTTTTTGAAACTTGAGCTATCGTAAAAAAGAACAATTGTACTTATGTTCGATTAATTTTAGATGTTTTTTCGTAAAATAAAAGCTAAACAATATTGATATTGAAACCTTGTAAACAATAACAATAAATTTAACGTAAATTTATTTCTGACAGATATTTCTATGCTCATTGTTTATGAAATCTTAACATAAAATGAACGTCATTTGCTCTATATGTAGTGATCAGTTGGTGCAGTCTGATGATATTTTCTATACGAAATGTGGACACGTGTTTCATTTGCATTGTTTAACGCCATGGCTCGAAAGGTGAGGAAATATTACAAAATGAAAAAACATTAAACACTTTACAGAAAATACCTTGTTAGAAAATGTGAAACTTTGTCTTACAAAGTGTACATAAACTCCTTTTCCATAACAATATTTATAATTGTAATTTGTTATTTTCAGATCAAAAAGCTGTCCACAATGCAGAGAAAAAGTTACACAGAATAAAATACATAGACTTTATTTCACATTCTCAAACAATGATCTAGTTGAATCTCAAGGTTCAACATTACAAGAAAAAGTAGACAGATTAAAATTTCAAATTTTACTAAAAGAAAAGGACATTCAATATCATTCCTCAAAAAATGTTACTTTAGAAAAACAAAATGCTGGTTTGAAGCAAGAAGTTCGAAAATTAGAGAGTGAAATGAACAAAAAAAATGCAGCAATACATGCTTTGAAGGAGCAAATAAATTATTTCAAAGAACAAAGTTCTCACTGTGATAATTTAAAAAGAGAGATTAATCAATTAAAGAATAAGATTGAAGATCTTAGGCCGTATGTAATTACTATATGTACACACAATGTACACTTCATTACATATATATCAATGTTTTGTGTATTTTAGAATACAAGTGTTATTACATGCCCCTATCAGTGATGTTAGTAAAATGGTTGGAAAAACCAAAGATCCTCAAACGCTTACTATGTATATTTCTATTATGAAAAAGTCAGTAATGTTGTGCCTTTTTAAGAGCATGTTTTAAAAATTCATACTATTATTAACATAATTATATTTATAGGGAATTAATTGAAAAATTTAATAAATGTAAACAATTACGCATGAGTGTTAAGAAGCTCCAAGAAGAACTTTCTAAAGTTAATACGAAATCACCATTAGAACAATCAAAACGAATGTAAGATTTAAAAAATGTGTTAAATCTATTAAATTTATATGAGTATCATATATATATATATTATTATTATTATATACATTAGGGATTTAGAAGAAAAACTAGCATTTTCAGAAAGTAAAAATATGGCATTACAAAAAAGAGTTGATGAATTAGAGGAAATACTTGGCATTAATGAAAAAAGTAGTAGTGAATTAGAAGTTCAAACAGCAGAAGATGAGGATAACATTTGTAAAGGTATTCCAACTGAAAAAACATCAAAAGTATATGATCAAGATACCTCAAGTAAAAATTCTATATTGAATTGTACAACTAAACAGAAAACTGAAAAGGTTTGATATTGAATATAAATTAATAAGGATAATTCAAATCAATGATTAGTTATAATTATTTTACATTTTTTTACAGATATGCAATATTAAAGGTGTACAAGAGAAAATACAGGATTGTCAAATAGAAAATAATACAAATGGTTTAGAAATAGATTTATTAAATTGTAGCTCTTCCAAAAATTCTCCAATAGAATGTAAAAGATTAAAATTGTTAGATGACATAAACACTTCACATAGAACTGATAACGATAAATCCTCAAACAGTTATATATCAAAAAAAAGAAGGAAAAATAATACTAAAAGAAAAATGTCTGATATTGAAAACAAGCATGATAATCATGTGATTGATCTAACTTAAAAAGTTCCTATAAGTATTATATATTATTTCTTTTATATAAATCATTATTTATATTTTAGAAGTATATATAGTATTTTGTCATTGTAATTATTGGATTTTTGAGTTTTTAACAAATAAAATATTCTACTTTCATATTTTTTCGTCATTTAATTAATTTATAGTTATCTTAACATAGGAAAAGCAGTCCCAACAAATTTTGTACCCTTATTTTGCAATATATATGTTTGAATATAAAATTTAAATCCTGCAAAAAACAGTTGACACCTTTTATTTGGTCTTGTAAAAAAACAAAGTGTATAAAGTGCTATTTCAAATTCTGGGGTGGTTCCAATGAACATAGTTGATTTTTTACGTTTTCCAGTATAAGTGAAATATATTTCTAGAATGACAACTTTCTAAAAACCATTATGAAGTGATTTAATTAATTTTATTCATTTACATTTACATTTATACTTACATTAACAAATTTCTTCCAGTGGCCAAATCCAAAATAATTAATTTTGTTTGATAATTCTCCATAGGAAAAGAAAATCCAATTATGAAGCCCTATAATACCTCTACGTGGTTTTCTTTCTCCTACAAATACATGTTCAAATCCAGAGGAACCATTTATATTTTTACTCCGAGAATATAAATGAAACCAAATTTGTTTTAGGATATCTTTATGAACTTGTATGTCATTTTTAAAAAAACCTTTGACTGACAAAAAGGACATAACATGTAACATTATATCTGTTTTCATTAAATCATCAATAAATTCATTCTCTTCAGAATCTTTTGTCTTTGTTAGAACTTCTGGCTGATAAGTATCCAATTCATAGTTATCAAATAGCTTTACAAAAGATTTTATCATTGATATTGAAAATACATTAGATGATATATTTAACAATCTAAAATTAAAGAAATTAATTATATTTCAAATTAAAAAAGAAAATTTAGAAAATACCTTTGTGGAGCATTATCGCTAAAATTATTAAAGTTTATTTGTCCTTGATAATTTATATATACATTATTCGATAATTCATAAGAAAATTTATTATATAATTCTTCTGAAATCATCATTAATTCCATGTCACTTGTTAAAGACACATTTGTAATATTATTGAAATCTATAAGACGAACGAATATATTAAATACACGAGATAAATAAATCTTTAAATGCCGTTTTATTTCTATTTTATAATTACCATTTATTTGACGAATTGTAAGGGAATATATAACCACAAAATTTAATGAAACTAGTATATAAATAGAAATTTGAAAAATTTTATTCAACATTTTCTCAAAGTACCATATTTTAACTCTAAATAGTAAATAATTTAGGTTATGTCAAATGTTCCTGTTATTTGAAAATATTATATTTATTTAACTATAATGTAAAATAAACATATACAGATAATTAGTAATTTAAAAAATACTAAAAGTTCCCATTTCATTTCAAATTAAAGTAATTAATGATTTATATAATATATAATAACTTTTATGTGAAGAGACATTGTACAAAAAGATTGTTCAAAAATGTGTAGAATTTTGTATAAAAAAATCTTAAATAAATAAGAGTACTTATTTTTTAGATGTAATGCAGAAGTAAGTAAAAGAAGATTAATATTAAAAAGGAAAACTGTTCAAGAATGTTAATTTAACATAAAAATTCCTTTAAAATTATAATTTATATTTTTAATTTTTTAATGTTAAATATTTAAAAACTATATATGATATATATATAGTTAATGCACAAAGGTGTCGAGAATATCGAATACAAATTTTGTTTACAAATGGTTGACATTCGTTTACAATAGTGCCTTTTTAATCGTAAAAATGTCAAATCGAATGGAATATATAATTTCGCCATGGGAAATCGAATCATATATACAATATTTAAAAATTTCGGAGCTTGAAGATATTGGAACGAAAGAGTTAATTTTTCTTAAATATTACATGTTTCTTACACACTATAACTCACATATTATTTTCAGGTGGTTTGAATTTCATAAAAAGTTAATATTATTAAATCAACAAAGCGTATTAGAAATTAATGCCTTGCGAGAAGAAAGTACTAAAGAATGGTTCGTTTCTTTTAAAAAGGTAAAATATATTTAAATAAAACATACAGTAATTTCGTATATTAACGTTATTTTTTTTCTATATAGATTCCTATTCTTATATATGAAGCTATACAAATTGACATATGGAAGCATAAAGTATTTCCGCTTTTAATAGAAATAAACGAAGAACCAAAAAATACTTTTATGCTTTACACTGTATTTTATCACGAAGATATTGCCGTTTCATTATTGGAAAACGTGTTATTTCATTGTGAAAGTGCAGAAACTATAAATGATTCTGCTCTTGACCTCGTCGATTATGCTGTTAAAAATGTATCTTTACTTCTCGATATGCCTAATATCGAGATTTATGAAAATGTAAAAGATCCAAAGTAAGTTCGTTAATACTCGACGTTATTTTAATAAGAAAATGAAATTGAATAATAATGGTAATGATTGTTGTAATTAGCTCATGTCTTGAAGAAATACTTGAAAAAAAGAAAGAATTTGAATTTGATATCGGCATACGTTGCATTTCAATACTCCGTTACTTGGCTGAATACGCAGATAATTTACCATTGTATGTATTATCACGATTATTAGCTATACACGACGTGCCCTATTTACTTGTTGAACTTATTGAAAGACATCCGTGGAGTAAAGAAAATGCGGAAGGTAAGTAGTATTACATGTGCATTAAAAATTCTGAATACGATAAAACTGTTTATCTTTAAGGAAAAGATGTGATATATAATAGTGGTTGGAGAAAAGTAAAATCAAGTGAAGAAGGGAAAATTTCTAAGATAGAAGCACAAACTTGGCTTGGTTTAAGGGAATTATTGCTCAACCCCAAAAGTGCATCCTACTATGAAATTACTGAACATAGATTTTCTCAATTATTAAAAGTATTCTAACATACGTTACATTATATATCTAACTTTATATATTGTATTATAAAAAAAAAAACTTGTTTTGCTTTAGTTACAGAAATATTTACACGAATATGTACTAGATCAAATTTCTCCTTTAATAGACTTAAAAAGATGGTTAAATTATTTAAGTGTATCGTCAGCTAACGCTAGTGCACCACAAGCAGTAAATGTGGAACTTTTACCACAGGTTGAAAATTGTTCAATTAACTTTGGTTTCTTAAAATATTAAATAAATATTTTAATTATTTTATTAGATAAAATCATCAATAATGGAGAAATATCATAAAAAATGGAAGAAGTTAGCAAAATATCAATCAAAATTTATATACAGTACAGATGCTGATTACATTAAAAACACTGCTCAAATTCTAAGTGATGCGTATGATTTAGAGAAATTGGATTGCGTTGATATTAAAGAATGTTTTTTATGTCATGAAGAGGCAAAAAAACGTTGTTCTAAATGTAAAGAAGCTTGGTACTGTGGAAGGTATACGTTTTTTCATGTATTTATAAAGCATTATTACCTTCTTTTTTAACAAAAAATATCATTATTTACAGAGAATGTCAAGTAAAAGATTGGGTAAAACATAAGAATATCTGTGACAAAATAACAAAAAATGTAGAGTATGAATAGAAACATTAAGTTCCTTTTATGAGGAAAAAACGTTTCATTACCTTCTCATTGTGTAGTTTTCAGTGTTAGTCAAATAAAGAAATTAAAAATAAAAAATTAAGAAATGAATAAATCATACATACGAACTTATATCCAATATTTTATTAAAACTTAGTGTACAGAACTTTGTTTCACATATTCCATTACAACATCTTTTGCAGGAGTATCTTCCCCAAAGTCCTGAAAATAAATAGATTGCTAAACAGAATAAGTTACTAATATTAAATTATTAAAATCAGGAAAGCATTATCGCAGCACAGTTTCTTAATTATCTCTTAATTAGCACTTAATTAATTATCTCTCAGTAGGAAGAGCCTTTGTTTTCATCACATATTTAAAAATTAAATTTTACACAATTTATACCTTTATAACAACACAGGAACACCCAACAACTTTTCGAGCTTTGCCAGCACTATCAATTTTGCAAAGACCAGCCCATTCGCCAAGTTTTTTATTATTGTCTACCCTGATTAAGGGAATCTGATGTTCATTGCATAATGCTTGTACTAGTTTTTTATACATAGGTTCATCACAATTTTCTGCTAAAATGCAAAGCATGGCTTGCCTCCTAAAATATAACAAATAAAATATATATAAAAACAAATCTAATATTGACATAAATTACAGAATTGTTATTTAATGTATCAGATAGGGTTATAAACAGCATTATTAATTTTTAAAATGGGTTCTTTCTCAGTAGAGGGAACCTATTATCATCATAATGATAACATCTATGATCATCTATTTCTATTTCTTACTTTATCAAAATATAAAACTTATTCAAATAAATTATTTAATAAACTCACTTGTCTAATGCTTTAGCAGCTTCATGAAGACCATGTACAACACCATCATGAATAAGTGCATTTTTAAGAACTTCTTGAAGGGCCGTATTTACATCCATTGCACCTCCTGCTGTCATAGCAGAAGGTCCATCATCACTAAAAGTAAAAGAATAATTGAAGTCTATTTATGTAATTCTTCATATAAAATTTTTAGCTTATGTAAATTAATGGTTATTTGATAATTTATATACAAAATTAGTTTCAGTAAATTTCAATATCCAAAAAATGTACAATGAAGACAAGTATTTATTATCTTAACTTAACACTTCTATGGTTTTAACTTAATATAAAAATTTAACTTAATATTTTTTCAATATAAAAACTTGATATCAATATTTTTATAACAAGTATATAAAACATACTTACTTTTCAACATCTGACATGTTTTTCACGAATTAAAAACTGAAATAATAAAATAATATTAGTGATACTGTCTTTAAGTTTACAGTTTACAATTTTTTCAAGTAAAAATTATGATGATGATATTGTAATAAATTGATTTTTAAGTCGCCGCTCCACAGCATGCTTCTTTATACCTTTTCGTGCAAAGAAAGAGAAATGGCGTTTAAGCACACGATCATTAACTAAACCATAGACATAGACATGCCATCATATACGATTTCATGTCACATTTCGAAATACTAATTTCCTGAAGAATTATTTCTTACGTTCTTTGCGACTTATTACTCCAGAGATTATTTTTATCAAAACTAAAAAAAAGAGAAATAATATATTACTCAACATACTGAATAGAATTTGTAAATCTTTATATATTCATGTTGTTAAATGGAATACAAAAAGAAAATTTAATTTTAAGGATCCAATCGTAAAAATTAATAAATTAATCTTTTCGATTAATTTCTTTACAAATAAAAATTTTATCAATTTATAGTTATTGAAATACTAGCGCCACGTAGCGATAAAATAGTACCATTGAATAACTGGGATCATTGACTAAAAACAGAACAGACTGGACATTAAATGGGACTTCGTGTCTCTGAAATACCGACCAGGAAAAAGATCATTGGTTTTTCAGCGCACTCTACGCTTAAACATTGACTACTGGTACTATTAAGACAGATGTGGTATATGAACCGAAGTATAACCGAGAATAGAATCGATAATGCCAAGAATATTCTTCAATTGAATTTATTCTTCAAAAAATTAAATTTTTAACCTAAATTCGGTTTTAACCTAAAATTAGACCAAGGTTTAAAAAATAAAATTACAGACGTAACATTTTTATAAAAATTTTATTCAATGAACGAAAAGAATTACAGGAAGGAAATGTTTGTTTTTTTTTCAATTTATGCAATATATTTTTGTACGAAATTTTTGTGCGTGCAATAATTTTAACTTTAATAAAGATTACAACATCGCCTTTGAAGCGGTGAAATTTTGCAATTACCTATTGCAATTTTCGAATAATATATAATCGATGTTTCTCGTAATCGATCTAATCGATCTAATCGATCCAATATTGAATGTAACGTAAAACTGTCAGTTTTAGGCAGGAACGTGACAGAAAAGGTAGCAGTGGCACGTAAAAATATCGAAATCATAATTAAAAGTATCAATTCTAAGAATTAATAAAATAACTAAGTAATTATAAAAATCGAAGAACGTAAAATTTATATTTTCATATATAATTTCAACGTAAGTAAAATTTGTTGATCTCTTGGATAGAATTTGAAAAGAGAACGAATAACTATGGTATTTGTAGGATTTTATTTTTCTAAAGTATTCATTAAATAAAAAAATTATAAACTGTACATTATGATAGAAGTAGTAAGTATAAATACAATTCTTACATACTGAGAACTTAACACGAAGAAAACACTATTGCTTCATACATGCCTGTTTGAATATTTTATCATATGTACAATACTTTTAGTCCTTCCTACCAATAGATACAACTACGATTATTACTTTTCTATCATACCTGCTTATTTCATACTTAACATTTAATTTATACATCACACTAAAAATCATTAACTGTGCTTAAAATAAACCTATTAATTATTAATTATCGCTGAATGCTTAAATTTATCTTTTCAAATTGTATTGCAAGTTATATCTATTCGTTAGAACTTTCAAAACAATGGTAAAATTTACAATTGCTTTTATGCATTGATATAGATACTTATCGCGAATGACTTGGTTGTTTAAAAAATTGTTCACATTGTCACAAAGAGAAAACAACCAACTCTGTGCTACGTTGGTGGAGAGTATCTGTGATAAGGCCAACAATAATGTGGTGGAGGTGGTGGTGGCGGCGGAGGCGGTGGTGCTGATGGATGTTGCGAACTCGACGGTCCTGTCGGATATAGATGATGAGTATGATGAGAATGATGAGGATGACAATTCGCGCCTGTACCTCGGTTCGCTGGTGATCCCTCTAACGTGACACCAGCTTGAGTTTGACATGCCATCATCAACCCGTGAAAATCGAACTTATACGCGTATCGTTTCCCGTGCACTTTCGTCATGATATTTTTGTCGTAGTAATACCTGCGAAACAGATAACGGCAATGATTCTAATAATTCTTAGGAATTGTTAGGAAAGGACCAGTGACGCTACACTTTGTAGCATCGTGTGAGTTTTAACGCTTTTAGTAAATTTCAACGATTGCAATGCCCAACAGAAATCCATGTACAATTAAAATAAAGACGAAGCATAAAGATGGTGTAAACATAAAATTCGTGTTTACCTGAGCGCCCGTGATAGTTTATCGTAGTTCATGTTCGGTTTACTCTTCCGTTCGCCCCATCGGCGCGCAACTTCGTCCGGATCGGTAAGTTTGAATTCGCCGTTCGAGCCCTCCCACGCGATACAGGATGAGTTGGACGAATCCGAAAGCAGCTCCAGCAGGAATTGCCAGAGTTGAACTTGTCCGCCTCCGACCGCCCCGGAACCCACGGCTCCAGTTGTCGATCCAATCAGGGAGCAAGTTCGTTGGAGGAGGCTGAACCTCTCTACGAACAAGAAGCAGAAACACGCATGCACCAACAGACCTTCACTTCCTCGAGGTCGATTCGTCGAAACCTTGAGAGAATAGTGATGGTTGCGATCATCCTTTGCTTGTCATCTTCCCTCTGCCTTTTTAATGTATTTCGTTTATCTCATGTTTATTTCAACAGTGCTTTTCTCTGTGAATATCTTCCAAGTCGGAATTTCAAATGATACTTGGCAGAAAAGAAAAAATTTTGGTATGTACGAGGGATTCATAGGATTTGACGACAGAATCATTTGCCAATTAATAATAATGTTAGAAAGTCGACAGAGTTGGTGATACAGACACAAATTTTATTTCAAAAATTATTCTCAATTACCGCTGTTAATTAGGTATATAAATATTTATTAATTTAACATTTCTGACTAATAGGCAATTCGGAATATGTAATTCTAAAAGAAATAGTTACGTTGCAATTTAAAAAATAATATTACTCCAAAATTATATCACTTCCAATTAATTCCAATGATTACGAGAAATATTTATGAAAATTATTTGAATTGACAATGAAATTAATTATTACAATATTAGCATGTAATATAAAACAATATGTTTGATAATAAAGTAACTTAAATTTTCTTTTTTAAACTATGAAGTTTCAAGAAGGATAACTAGACAGCAAGCTTTCATTTCTCTTTCTTTTCTCTTTAAATTTTTAATTTAACAGGAAATTTAGAGCTATGTAGTAACAGATACCGTTGTAAAGAATGGCAGCTGTCGAAGGATGGAATCTGCTGTCCTGCTGAAGATGCAACGGATGTGTTTGAATTCTCCACATAACGCGTTCAACTATATCGTGAGCCTAATCCTTCACCGCGTGAGCAACGGTGATCGGCTGGCCCGTTGTTAATCTCATTACGAAGGTACGTAATACGAAAGCCATTTTTCTTTATTGCTTAATCCGTCTTTTCAGTATTAACTAGAATTTAATTTCAAGATAATTTGCCACAAATTTGAAGACTGATATCTATAAATAATTCTTTTCATAGCAAACTCTATTATTAAAATACGTGATTTATTCGAAATAAAGTTCATTTTTAGATTAAAATACCGTGATACGTTTCGATTCACAAAAATATTGCACAAGTCAAGATGAACACGAATATTCGAATAATAACTTTTTCTTTCTTTTTATTATTTTATTTAATCACTTTTCATATTTTATTCCAGAAAAATTGAAAAACAATATTACACAAGCACTGCGTTATGGTATTGTGTATTTGAGGATTCAGATTTAAAATTTTCCCGCGATAACAAATACGATTTTGAATGGTTATCGAGTACCTAATTGAAAATAATAATAATAAAAAAAAAAAGACAAACCACATGGTTCACGTATTTTATACGCACAAATTGTATACATTCACAGATGTGATCGTGTGATAAAACGTGGTAACGAGCAGAATAAAACGCACCAGACGGAGGACAGAGAGTAACTGAGCGACCTTTGCCCCCGGTGATTTCATCCCTTATCGCCCCCACTCTGATTCCCGCGAACGGAATACTTTTACTCGTTTGTATTACGCTGCTGGTTTCAACCACTCTCATTATCCTAAAGATATAGATATCGAAATCGATAATCAAATTCAAATTCTCAAACAATTTCACATTTTTGGGATCTTTTCCTGGTAACGCTTTTCATACTAATAGAGTTCCCCGAGAATACTTTCATTTTTGGTTGTACCTTTAATTTGACTTTCCTACGAAAAGGAAAACAATTTGCGCAAGTTTACAACTCACGCTTCGAACGTTGAAGTTGACGAAGTTTCTAATCAATGTGCAACAAAGATGAAGAAAGAAAGGAATTTGACAAATGAAAGGAAGAAACTCTTTCGCAACGCTTTCTCTCTTCGTCACCAGACATTTCAAATCTTACTCGAACAGAAGTCGTTTTATATGACCGCGTATAAACTGAAAAAGAGCGAGAACTATACTTGAATATAGGCATAGGTACTAATGACATTTGTCGGGGGTGTTGACTCCGACTGACAGAGATTTCAAGGTGTTTCCAGTTATGCGACGTGCCATGGTGTCGCGTGAAATTATCATGTATACGGCAGGAGATTCGGGGGGATGTTTCGCGCTCATCAAGAAAACAATATAGCCGCACCCTGTGGCGAGCTTACCATCCCTAGCCCGTTAGAGTTTGCTATCCCCTCCCCTGACGATGTAGATGGCAAAGGAGAAGGGTGGTAGCGGTTACTGCAAGGCCGTAACCCCCAGGGTGGCGGTACCACCACCTTTCCGCCGTCCTAAACACTCGATGGTTTATTCATGAGAGCTCTCTCACCACGATAACACTGATTCGTTTAATAAACGGCCGCTGCCGGGCGCGGAGTGTGCCCCCAAGAGCACCTACAACGTTATTCAAACGGACAATATATCTCGGAGGCTTACACTGCCAAGACTCTGCCTCTTCTCGCCTCTTTTCGCCCGTTCGTCGGCCAAAAGGTAGATCGCTTTTTTTCATTCTTTCTCGCCGCTGCCACATCATCTCTAGCTCCTGCTCTTTGCTCGCGCGCGCAGAACGCCCTTCAACGCGAATAACTTTTGCTCACTTCCTGCTCGAGATAAGTACTTACTCACTTTTTGATCTCCAGATCTGCCCTCCGCGTCCTCACGCGTCTTTACGCTCTCTATTTCTGCAGGTTTTCGTATTGGAAGATTGAATTCTTTGAAGCTATAAAGTTCAATTGGATCGATCGTTTGTTATCTAGGATTTAGAGAAGTTATGGGGGAAAGCGAATTTGATTAAGGTAACGATACAAATTATTATCAGAGTCTCTTTGTTGTTAAGTTTGTTGAAAGTTCGAGGTGGATGGAAACGAATGAAGAGAGGAACGTGGCTATTATCGTCTACCATATTTATTTTCCTGCCGGACCCTTCTTATCTCTAATAGATCGCGCCCTCGTTAAAGCCTAAGATAAGGTCGAAATGTTCGCGAGTGGACTAGGATCTACCCTGGGGAACGGTTAGCCTCTTCCGGTCACTTTCAATCCGACCTGGACCCCTATTAACCTTCCCTAAGCTTCATGAATCGCGTGTCATTTGGATTTACTGCGGGAATTCTATCCTTAATGCTTACACTTACTTTTACCAGTTATAATAAATGATCCCAGTATGTTAATTTCTAACTTTGGATTTAACGAAAAACATACAAATATTTATAATGTAGTCTATTCACATTTTTACGAACGCAATTGAAGATATACAATCTGAACGAAGATTTCTTTCACCTATTAAATATTATAATAGATATTGTATTAACTTAAGGGCCTGTTATGGAATATGTGATCTATTTGATAATGATATTTGGACATGCAGATACCTGTTTCTGTAGCAGTAAATATCTCAACAAATTCATTCAATACTTGTTCATTAAAACGAAAACCATAGAGACAAATATATTACATAGCTCGTATTGTAAATCGAAATAACACTTTTTCATACAACAATGATCAATAATATTTATTGCGATCGCTAAAGTTTGTCTTTGTTTTAAAAACGACACGGCAGATTTATGCTATTTTTATGATTACTTACCATCAATTTTCTCTTCTTGGAACAAATCTGGCGTTTGTATACCGGTTGCCTGGAACCGAAGATAACCCAGGTGTCGGGCTAAAATTTTTCCACCAGGAATAGCTTGCCAATGATCGGACGACAATGTTAATAACTCTTTGCCCGTTGATGGAAATTTCATTGTGCTAGGTGCTGGCTTTATAGAAAACGCGTTGCTGCACCATGAAATCCACGATGCGATGTGACTTGAGTTCCATTCCGACGGATCTGAATAATACATAATATTTTCTAGAATCTTTGTCTGTTTTCATCGAGCAAAACAAATAAAAATAATTACCAGACGGAACCATCACCGGTTCCGAGTCCATATTGTCTCCTTCGATCTTTCTTTAAGATACTCGATTCGCTTTCAATTTCACATTTGTGTTGATTTCTCATCGATATCATAAGTTTCAAGTTTGCTCGCCAACATATCGTCAAATCATACATTTTTCTCTAGATTCATGCACCTATACGTCATTTGTAAGTTGGACTCTTTATATATCTGATCCTATGCTTAAAAATTCTTTTTTGATCGTGGATTTTGCGTGTTTCTCGTTATACCAAAATTATTCACTTGTCAATTCGCTTTAGATGGAACTGCTCGATATAGTCTTCCGTTTCGTTCTTTGAGAAATTGTCCTGCGCTTTCATTTCTTCACGATCTGCAAATATGACTGCAATCTTCGCAAACTGTCCATGATTCATCGAGTACATAAGTACGTGTATGTGTGTACATATGTATGTCGATCATGTACGAATCGCTTCATATTTTAGGATTGATATCCTTCTTCGAAGTGTAGATAATACCTACTTTAAAACATGTTCTCTTAATCTTTAACTTGTATCATTCTTAATCTGATTCTATAAAGCGTAAGTGATACATTTCGATCGACAAGATTCTATTTATTTCCACTCAGATACGTATAAATATTTTTTCTAAAAAAGAGTTTCACTAAATATTATTTCTTTCGTATTAAATTTGAGTCGTTCTACACCTCAAGAGTGCTCCCAAATTATTTTCGTCCAAAAATACTCTCATGTATAGTAAGGTAGCAGGTAACTACTGTTGAAATTAGTGTGATTTCCACATCGACCGATTCATGCGTTTCCTCGAAACGAGCCACATGCGTCATCGGGGCTCGTCGATTTCTCCGGTGAATCCTTACAGTACTTCTGACGTTATTGCATGTTGTGGCAGTTCTGAACGAGAAACCGGATGAAAAGGACTATTCACTGGCCGACGTATTTCCTCGGAAATAGGACTTGGATAATTTGATCAACAGATCAAAAACGTTCGAAGTGTTACTTAACATCAGTTCGTGAAAATATCGAAAGTTATCGATTTTGAGATGTTTGTTTTCTTACAATAAGTTACGAAGGCGAAATTAATTGTCGTGAAAACGAATGTTTCACTTCATATGATAAATTTTATGAACTGTACCGTTTGATGTGACTCGTTACTCTTAAAAATTCTAACGATTCATTAAGAACTCGAATGTGCGTTTCTGTGAAGAATGATTATAATCTGAATACGTCGATGTGAAAATGTTTTTCGTTTTAAAAAGCTACCGAGAAGATTTTATTCGTCCAATCTTTTCTTTAACATCTCAACGAATGTTACGCAATGTGATGAAATAATTTTAGTTTGGAAACATTGTATTTTGTAATACTTTTTTGTAATAGCTGTCTTTATAGATGTAAAAGAGCAAACATTACGTATACATTACGACGTATATGTATGTACACATAAGAAGATGTAATTAATTCGTCAGAAATGTTCTCTCTAATAAATTAACTGAATAATAAATAGCGATTTCAATCGCAACCGGATCTTCTCTAAATTGACCCATTTTCAAAATAGCCTTTATTACGTGTAAGAGAAAAATCTCTACTCAAGATGAAACAACACATCCGACACGAAGAAAATTGATTTTCACACTGATTATTGCTCGCATTCAACTTTTCACGTATGCGTACGAGCATCGATGCGATCGATGCAGAATTGCCGATGAATTTCACGGGTTACATCGTCACGTTCCAGATGAACACTGTCCGTGAATGGAGCTGATGCTGAAGGTCCGATTGGCGGAGTACGGATTCCCGGAACCAAGAAGGAGACCGGTCAGTTTCGGGGCGTACATCGCCAACCGCTGAATCACGTTCAATCGGCCATCTTTACCTATTTTTTCTTCCCTTTCTTCTTTTTATATTAGGCGATCAGACGAGTCAGCCTGGCCGTTTGCGATGTGACCTTCCGAGCATGCTGCCTAACCCGTATTTTTTTATTCATTGTGATAAAATTCCGCTTCGCAGTTTTGCGATTCTATTAATGCCCCGAAATGAAATGGACACGATGAATTTATTATGGTGATTCGCAAAGCTTTGAGCTGAGTAAACCGCCTTTAGAAAGAACATCTGCTATTTGTTAAAGGAACAATCGAAGTTGATACATTGTTTATCTCCTTTGTTATCAGGAATATTTTAGATATCAATGCAGATAGAAATCGTCAAACGTGTCAAAAAATATAATGATGTTGTTTTACAAAACTGAATACATTAATTATATGTTTTTACGCCATGTTTTGATAACGCCGATGTAATTTAGTTTAAAGTACATTTCATATGATAAAGTATCGTTATATCTTATCAATATACAGATATTTAATATAAATATTATAATTACCAATAAATATGAAGAAGCATCGTGAAACTACAAAAGTAGTTGTCTCTATATTTTAAATGCATATATGTACATGTGTTATATCTTCAAAATTTAGTTAGCCAGATGAAGAAAGTTGAGGTCTGGAATTTAATCACGCCCATATTTTGTAATCGTTTTAGTTTTTGTCCATGATTATTAATTTTCTTAGAATAAGGAGAGATCACATTTTACTTATTCATCATTGAATTTTGTCCTTCTTTTCATCACCACTATCTCTCTTTATTTAAAATATTTCTAATTTTCTTTAAATTAATTTTATATTTTGCATTATTCTGATCACTGTTACACTGATTTTTCTTTACAGTTCTCTTTATAGTATATTTTTAAATTTAACGAATTTCCAATAAGGAATTAATATAAAATATCCAACATGATATTTATAAAACATATAAATTATTATATATCATTGCAATAGATTTGTTCTTTTTTTGAATTGATAAATAGACATAGAATTGTTTTGATGACACAGATATGTGAATTTTGTTAATACAAATTAATATTAATTTAATAACTAGTTTATAAATTATGAAGCGCGCGAAGAAAACGCTTAGAAATTAATCGAATAAAAATTAATTAATTTATTTGATTTTAAATAAATATCTAATTATGTCATAGAATATATATATATTTCTTAAATATTATTAATTGTAACATTCAGTGATATTCATTAAGTAATATTTATAAATATAATTATATATTAATAATAATTATAAATTATATATTTTTGAATGAAATATATTTGAATATGTGCGCTGTTTAAATCAAAAAAAAGTGTATCAATATTTAAATAAAAATTTAAATTGAATGAATACGATAAATAGAAATGTATTGCACTTTTCATATTAAAATTCATTTAATATTTAGTCAATATTTAAAGACATTGATATTTAATTATTGTCTTTAAATCAGAAGCTGATTTGAACAGTCAGTATAAAATAGTAAACTACAAAGAACGCAAATCAGCTGTGAACTGTCAGATTTTTGTATTGTTACAAATTTATTCGCATTTGTAATTTATTTGATTTAAAAATATCAAGGTAAGGAGTTTAATTATACAATTTTTACTTTTATCTTGTTGCGCGAAGAATGTAAATATGTTTTAATGTGAAAAATAATGATGGACGCAAAAGTGAGGTTAGAAACGTTTGTTTTTAAATGAAATGATTTTGTACTTACAAGAAAGAGGTGATGCACAATGTCTCCTGATCCAACACAAGAACCTGTTGAGGAATCATTAAATGTACCAAATTTACCTCTTGATAGAGGAATGAATGCATCAGATAGCGAAGATGATGATATAGGAATGGCAGGATATGTACCATTATCTCAGATTCCTGCAGATAGTGATCCCATGTTGTATGAAGACGAAGTATGTCTATTATATTTATTTAATAATATTTCATTTATATATAATAAGTATTTGTTTTACATTTATTTCTTTATTTCTTAGGATGATGAATGGATAAGTAATGCAGGTGAATCTAATCAAACATTAAGACCCCCAATATTAGAATCACAGAATGTATGTATTCTTTTAGATTTAAGGAAAAATGTAATTATATTTGTTTTTTAGTATTTTTAAAAATATTTTACACTCTTTATAGGCTTCCATGTCAGAAACAATAGAAGTTTGGTCATCTCCTCGCAATCGGTCAAATATAGATATGGATGCAGATAAAATCAATCAAGTAAAATCTATGATGGCATCTTTTACTTTACCAATTACAGCAATTCCAGAATGGGCAAAAGCTATATCAGAAGAACAATGGAAGGAACAACTTATTGGACGTATTAAAGAAATGCAAAATAGAGAAAAGTAAATTTCAATATTTTAATTAATTCTTTTATATAAATTATGTATATAAATATACAAATTAGAGTAATTCTTTTTCTCCTTTTTAAGCTATAAATTTGATGTTTGTTAATAAGTATAAAATTTCAAAATAAGTAACTCTAGTGTATACATTTAATTGAATACAGTAGCCAAATTTGATATTATGTAAATCATAACAAATAAAAATATTTATTTTATCTTAACTGAATTTTTATCATACGTCTGTTTATATATTTTCTATATAAGACTATTTTGCATTTTATTATTATCAATATACCTCACTTTATACAACCACTAAGTTAATTTTTTGTGATAAATGGTTATAATGGGTATGAATATATGATGTAATACTGTTCAACATTTGAAATCATGCTTCTGCCCAGTCATACACTGCAAAGAACACACTTGAATCATTGATGGATGTCGAATAAAGATACAATGACATTTATAGTTCGAGATCTGCACTGATAGCGGCAGCTTTTTGGGGATTTAATTTCATTCGTAAAGCGGTAACGTCATCTTCTATTCTTATCAATTTTCGGAATTTCTGGAAAGAAAATATCATATAAAAATTTTGTAAAACTGAAGAATTTTGAAAAGAAAATTTTTTAGTTTTTAATTAATGTACCTCAGAAATAGTTCCAGGTGTTGTAAACCAGATATAAATCATGTATCCGGGAATACATAACATTGAGGAAAGACCGCAAAGCCACCCTAACACGTGACTCCACCATGGATATTCATACGTAAGATATTTTACGGGAACGAATTTAATTATGTTGAAAGTGAAAACTCCCTAAATTAAAAATTTATTTCAATCAGACATCATCAAAAACGTATATTAAGAATTATAGAACAATAGAAATTATTGTTTTACCACGCAAATGGCTGGAGTAGTAAATGTCCAACATATCTTCCACCAGCAACATGGATAATAACCAATCATGTCACGAATTCCATCGTAAAATCGATTTACACCGAATGCCCACGAAACAGCAATACATTCAAAGAACATTAAAAACAATAAGCAAAATCCACTAACAGCATACGAATCCAAGAGTTGAAAAACATACATTCCCCCCTAAAAGAATTACGAGAAAAGAATTGCCGTGATCGATTTATAGCTAATGATGAAATTTAAATTTTACCTACTTACCTCAGTAACACAAAAAAGACCTATAAGATACGAGATAAAGCATACAATTGCTATGAATAATTCTTTTCGTTTTCTAAGAAGACGCGGCCATTCATCGACCGCGGCTGTTATGAAGCCTTCAACTGTACAAAACTATAAAACATAATAATCCATCATTTTCATTTTCGTTTCGTTAAAATATTGTAAATTACCTGACTATCTAAGCCAATAAGGATAAGCATGAAAAAGAATAAACAAGCCCAAATTGATGATCCTGGTAATTCAAGAACTGCGGAAGGATAAACCAAAAAAGCTAAACCTGGACCTAGATAAAACATTAAAAAGATATAAAATATTAATAAAAACTAAAAACATTTTGATTTAACATTAATCATCGCAATTACCAGAGGCTGCTACATCCGCTACAGGTTTTTGTTGTTCATGAGCCATAAAACCAACCACAGAAAATATAACAATGCCACTAAGCATACTAGTACATGAATTCACTGTACAAACGATTAGTGCATCCCTGAAAAAAGTACCATCTTTTTTTCACAACAAAACGCGACAATAAAACGTAAGTTACTCACTTGTAAACATTATTATTAAATTTATTGTAACTTCCAAGAGCAACCAATGCACCTAGACCCAGGGCATAAGAAAAAAATATTTGCGTCACCGCATCGATCCATACCTATTAACATTTATTAAATTATTTGCAGATTTATAGAATTAAAAAGAGGAAAACGATAGGAAAGGATATATATCTAATACTTCGGGATCACTGAGTTTTGAAAGATTTGGCGTTGCATAATATTTCAGACCTTCCATTGCTCCTGGTAAGGTCAATCCCCGTACCAATAAAACTGCTAATAATGCATATGGAAACAACGATGTAAAGTACACAACCTATATATATAAAAATTAACATTAATTGCAAATCATCCTTATTTATAAATTATGAATAATTGTGGAATCTTACTTTTCCAGTCCATTTCACGCCTTTCCAAATACAAAAATAACACATGATCCACACGACAGCTAAAGTACCTGCTAGTTCCCATCTTATTGAACCTATGCTTTCTATACCACCAGAAATTTGAAGGGTACGCCTCCTTTTAAAAACAAAAATGATACATTCAAATACAGAAAAAAATATATAATAGTTATTCTTGCATCATACAAACTCACTCCCAAAATTCTTTCACTGGATCTCTCAGCAAAGTGTGACTTAAGTTACCAATCGAAGTAGAACATATCGTATCTTCGTCTTCGGGCCAACATAACGCTTCTAAACGTTCTGAAGAAGTGAGGCAGTAACGTGTATTCCAAGAATTGCCGCATGTTCTCCATGGCACATCTATACGCACGTTTAACTGATATTTAGAAATTTTTATCTAATATACAATCTTATTAATTATATTTTATTCTTATACCAATTCGTAAGGAGACCAAAAAATAAAAAAGTGCCCATGCCAGTATAATGATATAATATATGTTCGTCCAACAAGAAAGTACGCAAGTAGCGTAGCCAATGCCTGTTTTATAAAAAGAAAATTTAATAATAAAGCAGTAGTCAAATATTTCAAGGAAATAATTATAGGTATAAAACCTTTGAAAATCGGAGCTATCTTAAAGACACCTAATCCTCCTATAGTCATCATCTGGCCCAATGATAACTCCATTAGGAACATGGGTACTCCGGCAAGTGCAAGAGCGATAAAATAAGGAACCATAAAAGCACCACCGCCATTTTTGTAGCAGAGGTAAGGAAATCGCCATAAGTTTCCTAATCCTATAGCCAACCCTACTACGGAGAGGATGAATTCGATCTTGAAACAAATAAAAACAATTTGACGTTAATAATTAATTGTTAATCGTAATGTGTGTGTGTGTCTTCTTCGTTACGCATTTTTATTGTTGTAATCTAAATTAATGTTTTATGAAAGTTCACCTTGCTGCTCCACGTTCCTCGATCCGGCAATGTTTTGATTTCTTTAAAAGCCGACGATTGCAAGCATTGAATTGCCTCGAAACGAAAATCTTGTTCTTTACTGCCATTTGAAACTCTTATGGGCGGTTCAGCAAACAAAGCTTTTAATTCTTGAACAGGATTTGCAGGCCTACATGGCAGAGGACTAGTGGACCTATCTACCTTGGATACCTTAGAAGATCCGCTCGAAGGCATTATTTTCTGTCCGAAATACAAAGTAAATCGAATTCACCTCATCCTATTAATTCTTATTTTAATCTGTAAACAAAAATTTTTAAACAATTTTTTCTCTGACAATTGGTTTCTTAGATTTATCGGATTTATCTAAAATACCGAATGTCCGATCTATAAACATTTTACTGTTTCAGATCTTGGGGCTTTGCTTTAAAACACTAAAGATTAATTTCTTTCATTGTGTTCAATTAAAAGCGAGTGCGAACGCGAAACAAATTTTAATATATAATAAGTGAAAGATGATCATTTCTGAAGAACTTGGACTATTCAACAGTCGTCGTAGTTACGTGAGATACTTCTGCACAAGGGTCTTGATGATGATGGATGACAGACAACGAGCCACTTCCGGGAATCATGTTTGTCAAACGTTGTTCCCATCAGACAACCTTGTCCTATTTTAGATCAATCATCGGTGAAAGAAACGATGTCATCGAAGATCATCACGTGGAACAACGAACTATGCGATCGACGAACGTCTCGCCACAATAAAATCATCCAGATTTAAATTTTCAATTTATCATGTAGGAGGTAGAAAACTATTCATCGGCAATTTTGTCGTTCCATCTCAAGTACTCAATCCGCGCTTGACAAATTGTCATAGTTATAACTGGGAAACATATAAGAAGATTTGTCCAACTTTCAAGTGTAAACAAACTGCTGGTATCGACGATCATTAACGAACTATTCATGGGTGCAATGTCCTTTTAATGATATCATCCTCGGTATAAAACAATTTACAACTTCTACACTTCAATTGTGTAATAAGCTCAATTGTATAGTGACTGACTTGAATGAATGAAGATAAATTAATCTTTAGGATATTTTCAGTCAATCTTACTATCATACCCAACGGTTATATTGTTATACAAATAAAACGTCATAAATTTACAGTATAAATAAGGATAAAAAAAATAATAAATGATATTGAAAAAGAATAAGAATTTCACACAAACGTAGGTACATTAAAAAAAAAATAAATTCATTTATCTTTTTAAAAGAAAAACTTAAATTTCATTCCTGCTGTTAATATTTTCTGTTGAAATGTCTTATCTACTCTATTAGTAATCATGAAATACCATGAAAAAGAAAATAAAACAATAAGAAGAAAAACCAAAATGAAAAAAAATTCATTCAAAAGCTTTTAATAAAAGAGCACATAACGTAATGTCACATTGACACAACATAATCATTGAACAAGTAGTATATGACAGTCTATCGATGGTCATAATGATAAGAAAAGATGAGAAAAGAAATTTCTCTATTGCCATACAGTTTAAACAATGTACGTACGTGCACAATTTCAAGGGCAGATATGAATTGCGGTTTCCACTGGACCGATATATCGATAATAGTCGGAAAACGTCGTTAGTGAAAAGAAACTGATGAAGCGTGTCGTATGTCGGCCCGTGTCGTTACGTTCACAAATCGCGCTCACGGACGGTAAGTGTTGAGATTTCTACTGTGCCCTACAGATCTACCCCACAATGGCGTTCAGTCCCCCAAGCACCAACACACCTATCGTTCCATTCAACAAATTAGTGCCACAGTGTCACTCTATATTTAGGTGCACTATCTGAATGGTGAGAGAGCACCGAGTTCGCTAATAACTGATTGACCACACCGATGGCTGCGAATTGTTCTCTTCTTTCATGAGTACATTTAAAATGCACTGAACTACACTTGATCTTGATTTCATAGTAGGTACATGTATCATGAACTTATTCGAAATTAAGATATAATTGGATATTTACTTAATTAGTTTTATTATTCTATTTTATTTATAAAACGATTTATTACAGATTTATTAAGTAATGAACGCATAGATTTGTTACTTTAAGACACAAAGGGAAGACAAAAATAAGAATAAACAAGAATAACGTGATGGGATTTATTAAGCATAATAATATCAAACAGTACAAGGAATTGTATTGAAATATTAAAATGATGGAAAACAGAAGTCTCTTATAAGGAATAATAATTTAAAAAATAATAAGCGAAAACATTTTGCAAACTCTTTCTCTTTACTAAGTACTACAAATTCAAGGATATAAAATAAGTTTTTGTTTAATTAAAGTTAAAGAATGCAAAGATTATAAAATGTCTTTAACGCAAATATTATTTTATTAAACAAATTTTTGGATACTTGGTATCTGAGTATAATACTTATATCATAACAATATTTTTATTTTGTAAAAGTATTATATATACTTTTTATATATTATATACAGTATATAATTAAAAAACCTTTAAACTTTTATATATTATATATGTATGATTCATTAATAACTAAAATAAAATATTTTAAAATATTAGTGTATACAATATTGTAATATTGCAATTGGTATCAATTGATATAACAATATAATTATTTCATTAAATGGCTTAATACTTATTATCAATCGTACTTAAATAAATAACTTAACTAAAATATTATTTCAAAAATATTTGCAATTTCAATATAGGAAGAGTAAAATAATTTCTGTTATTGAAAAGTTCTTATTAAAATACTAATTAAAAAGAATAGTTTAATGATTTTTGTGTATAATGATAGAAAAATGCGTATTTATTTAAATATTACATAAAATTTGATTGATTTATAGCTATTACAAAACTTTTTTTAAACATTTAAACTGCCAAGAATGATACTTGTATGTCACGTGGTCAATTATTTCGGTGCTCTACTTCCGTTTCCCGCCAAAAGCCGGTATTAGTCGAACATAAAAAGGACAAAAGGGACTTTAATAATTATTGCGATATAATCGTCAATTAATCATAATCAAAATACCAAAAATGATTGGGAAAGGCAAGATGTATGTGATAAAACGCGGTAAGTTGTCAACTTTATTATTCTGGTATTATTTCAAGTAATTTTTATATAATTGTATGTTAAACACAAGCTACTATACTAAACTTTTGTAATTATTAGATGGACGCAAAGAAGATGTTCACTTTGACAAAATAACGTCCAGAATTCAAAAATTATGTTATAATTTGGATATGGATTATGTAGATCCTGTGAGTTTACTTAGCAAATTATTTATTCTTATACTTAATTATACATTATATATGTTATAATATATTTTGTATTATGTATGATATACAATAAAGACTTATTTTCTGTTAGTTTTGTACAATATTGTTAAGGTTATATAGTAATGAGAAGTATGTTTTTAATATTTTTTTATTTTTTTATAGTCTGCAATTACTTTCCGTGTAATCAGTGGTATATACTCAGGTGTAACTACTGTTGAATTAGACAATCTTGCAGCTGAAACTGCAGCAACAATGACTACTAAACATCCAGATTATGCGATATTAGCTGCACGAATTGCAGTCTCTAATCTTCATAAAGAAACAAAAAAAAGTTTTAGTGGTATGAAAAATATTCAATTTATATTCTTTTGTCGTTTTTTAATTCAATATTTTCTTTCATTTTCTTTCATTTTTAGAAGTAATACAGTCCTTATATAACGTAAAGGAACAATATTCAAATGAAAGCAGACCTGTTATTAGCGAAGAATATTACAATATTATACAAAAAAATGCAAATAAATTAAATTCCGCAATAATTTATGATAGAGATTTTAGTTATAATTACTTTGGTTTTAAAACACTTGAGAAAAGTTATTTATTAAAGATACATGGGAAAGTTGTTGAAAGACCACAACATATGCTAATGAGAGTTGCAGTTGCTATCCATGGTGAAAATATTGATAAAGCTATAGAAACATACAACTTTTTATCAGAACGTTACTTTACTCACGCATCTCCAACACTTTTTTCTGCATGTACTAGACGACAGCAAATGTCTAGGTATATTTATCAAGATCAAAATAAAGCATATTTACTTAAAGTGATAATTTAATGCTCATATTTTTCAGTTGTTTTTTACTAACAATGAGTGATGATAGCATTGAAGGAATTTATGATACATTAAAAAGATGTGCACTTATTAGTAAATCAGCTGGTGGTATTGGACTTAATGTACATTGTATTCGAGCAAGAGGTACACCAATAGCTGGTACACTTGGTGTATCTAATGGTTTGATTCCAATGATCAGAGTATACAATAATACAGCTCGGTATGTTGATCAAGGAGGAAATAAAAGACCAGGAGCATTTGCTATATATTTGGAACCATGGCATGCAGATATCTTTGAATTTTTAGATCTTAAAAAAAATACTGGTAAATTCATCAACGATTTTGTGATTACCTATTTTAACAATCATTTTATATTTCATATATGCTGATAATTGACAGGTAAGGAAGAACATAGAGCAAGAGAATTATTCTATGCTCTATGGATACCTGATCTTTTTATGAAACGAGTTTTAGAAAATGGTGTATGGTCTTTAATGTGTCCACATGAATCTCCTGGTCTACCTGATGTTTGGGGCGATGAATTTGAAGCTCTCTATACGCGGTATATTAAATTAAATTTTATTAATAATACATAATAAAATTTATTAGCTATATTAAATATTGGCAATTGATTCATTAGATACGAGAATGAGAAAAGATATAAACGTCAGATTCAAGCTAGAGATTTATGGACATCTATTCTTGTCGCTCAAGTTGAAACAGGAACTCCTTATATGCTTTATAAAGATCATTGCAATCGTAAATCAAATCATCAAAATATAGGAACAATCAAAAGTAGTAATTTGTGTACAGAAATCGTACAGTTTTCCAGTCCAGATGAAATCGCTGTGTGTAATTTGGCTTCAGTTGCGGTCAATATGTTTGTAAATCCTGTTAATCGAACATTTGATTTTCAAAAACTTTTGCAAGTCACAAAAATTATTACTTGTAATCTAGATAAGATTATCGATGTTAACTATTATCCAGTTCCACAAGCGAAAACATCAAATTTTAGACACAGACCTATAGGTAGGTATTTCTGTTATGTAAAATGTGAAGTATAAAATTTGAGTATTTTAAAATGTTTATCATATATATTTTAGGGATTGGAATTCAGGGTCTCGCAGATGCATTTCTTTTAATGCGATATCCATTTGAAAGTGAGGAAGCACAAAAACTTAATATTCAAATATTTGAAACACTATATTACGGTGCTTTAGAAGCTAGCTGTGAACTTGCTGCAGAGAAAGGAACATATGAAACTTATAAAGGTAGTCCAGTCAGTAAAGGAGTGAGTAAATTATGTATAAAAATAATTTGTTACAATAGCATTGATATATCACAATATACTGATTATTTATGTATTTCCAGATTTTACAATATGATATGTGGAATGTTACTCCAACTGATTTATGGAATTGGACAATTTTAAAAGAAAAAATTGCTAAACATGGAGTTAGAAATTCTTTACTAATTGCACCTATGCCAACAGCATCTACTGCACAAATTTTAGGAAATAATGAATCCATAGAACCATATACCAGCAATATTTATGCAAGAAGAGTTCTGTCTGGAGAATTCCAAATTGTAAACCCTCACTTACTTCGAGATCTAACTGAAAGAGATCTTTGGGATGAGAACATGAAAAACGAAATTATAGCAAATAATGGTTCTATACAGGTAAATACTTTATATAAGTTGAAAATGCATAGTAATGCATTACTGAAATATACACAAAAAAAGTTATTTTTTATTAATCTGTATTTCGTAGAATATTGAACGTATACCAGATGATCTAAAAATGCTTTATAAAACAGTTTGGGAAATATCACAAAAAGTAATCTTAAAAATGGCAGCAGATCGAGGTGCATTTATAGATCAATCACAGTCATTAAATGTTCATATGGCTAAACCAACAACAGAAAAACTGACTTCAATGCATTTTTATGGCTGGAAAATGGCAAATATTCTTAATTTTTATTCTTGTTACTTTATACATTATTTTAATAGAATTTATTTATTCACGTGAAAACGCTTTGCAGGGTTTGAAAACCGGTATGTACTATTTAAGAACGAAACCGGCCGTAAATGCTCTTCAATTCACAGTCGATAAATCAAAATTACGAAACGCAAATACTATTAACCCTTGTCAGTCTAGTAATTCTGAAAGTGGTAATGAGGAGGAACTCAACTCTTCAAAAAGTGGATGGTTACAAAATCAAAACAACGAAAGCATAGACAATGTACTCGCATGCTCTCGCGAAAATGGAGATGCATGCATGGCTTGCGGATCATAAATATAAATATTTGTTATATTTTGTACTTAAGTTATCATTTTTATAATCATTGTACATGTGATGAATGTTATATTTAAGCATAGTTTTTGTAATACTATACTAAGTTTTGAAAAATTGTAAAATAAAATTTGCCTTTGATTTCGTTTGTTTCTTTATTTTACTTAATACTTACTATTTGTTATTAAAATTCGAATAAATTAGAATGCAGAGAGTATAATTCAAAATTTCGCGCGATACAGGATAGTCAACTAAATCTAAGTAAATGTTGATCACCGTTCTTCGTATGCTACAGTCGAGTGTTCAGGAACAGCGTCACTACGGTAGTCAAGTAAAATGTCAAAATTACAAGCGTGAAGACGTACATAGTTGCGTATCAGCTTGATGTCGAGTAAATTTCATTAAAGATCTAGAGTGAATACATTCATTTTGGACTCATTTGTGAGTGATTCGATATTGTGCCGATTAAATATGTAATGATTTTGTTTTCTGATCAAAACAATAAGGAAACATTAATAAAAGAGACTTCTTCTATAACCAATTTTAAGCATTAATGTCCAGCTGATGTATTTTAACGTATTTGACAGTTGAAATTGCGCAATTGTTGCTAAGATTTTCTTATGAGTCTTTTTACGCAATTTATTTAAATTGCCGTATAGAATGGCGGATTTGGATGACTTATTTCATTTAGATCAATACATAGGTCCAGAATCTCTTACAGAATTGTGTTTCCAAGTGATCTGCAAAAATTTAGACATTATCTCGGTGAGGGATAAGCATGACTACCGAAATCTTTTGAAAGGAGTGGTTTTCCCAAGCGAGATATGCGATAAACTTATTGAATACGTTTTACGAAACGATCCGGATGAAGATCACGATCGTTTCTTTACGATTTTCAAAAATGTATGGATAACCAAACTTAAACGCGTCAAAGTTGTAGGATCCAATATAACTGATGATTCAGTACAGATCTTTACAAATCATAAACTTGTGAGATTAGAATTAACAGACTGTCCTAATTTAACGAATTTATCTATTAACTACATAAATGCAAATGCAGAAAATTTACATACTTTAGTATGTCGTGGAACTTCTATGATCATTCCAGAAAAACTTATAGGTAAGAACATTTGGTTGTTTATTTTCATTCAGTAATTACATATATTGTGATTTTAATATAAATCTTTATTGAGACACCTAGTATCTTATATCTTATATAAATTTTTCTTACTAATAATCAAAATTATGTGTATTTTATGATAAGAGTAGATATACATTATTCTTCAAAATGATAAGTGACAATAAATATTGTTACTATCATTAAGGTGCAAGTTTTATATTATGAATGAAATATGTTATTATTATGAAATTTAATGATTGATATATTTAAAACATCTAATTATCAGTATTATTTGCATTTAATTGAGAGATGTTAATTACATTTTTTAAATTATTGATATGTTTATTTAATAGTAAAATTAATATATGTGTATGTTTTTTTGATTGTTAGAATACCAGAAACAAGGATATGTATTTAAAATACCAAATTTAAGGACCTTGGCTTTAGAATATGTTCCAATTTGTGCCTCAGAATATAACATGCTCTTGGCTGGATTAACAAATTTAACAAATTTAGATTTGTCTAATAGTTTTGATGTGGGCACTTTTGATTTTTTCCATTTGGTTCCCAATTTAATATCCTTAGTTTTATATAATGTTAAAATTATTTCTCAAGCACAAGCTTTTGTTAGCAATATATGTCATTTGAAAAATTTAAGGTAACTATTTATTTATCTTTTATATGATAGAATAAAATATTGTATTCAAATTTTTTAATTTAATATTTTTAAAATTAGGCATTTGGATATATCTCAAATTAATCCAGAAGATGGAATATTTACAAACCCTAATACAATCTTGTCTGATATAATAAATGGTTTGCCTCAACTAACTTCTTTAGATATTAGTGGTACAAATCTAGCAGGGATAGAAATTGTAGATCGTGGAATACAAACAGTTGAACATTCTTTCTACTCTGACATATACAATAATAATCTTTGTGACATACCAGGTCTTATTTCAAGAGTAGATAGACCTTTACAATTTTTAGGACTCTATGGAGCAAACGATGCACCCTGTAGGCGACGTAATATCCCAGCAAAATTGGTAAATAAAAGCAATATTTTATAACAAGTATATAATAATATTGCATAACTTATCATTATTTATTCTATCCTTTAAAATTTTAGATTGCAGGAAATGCAAATGAAGATCAAATATTAGTTGCAGCTCATGTTTATATGAATAATAAAGAGGATTTAATGTTAAAAGTAATAAGTGATTTATATCATATGTACAGATATGAAAATTGTCATAGGATGGATCAAGCACTTTGTGCAGTGTTAGAAGCAATGGAGAAATATCCTACTCAAAAAGATATACAAATATCTGGAAGGTATTTAATTACATTTGTATGATTTTTGCACATTTAAATCTATTATATATCTTCAAAAAATTTAGTATGCGTATTGTTTATACTTAACAGTGCAGCATTGTTTTATATTGTGAAAATGAAAGAAAAAGGCGAATTAGAAGCCAGATTGAAAAAAAGAATTGTCCGTACTCTTCTCGTTGGAATGAGTATTCATAAAAATGAAGAAACTATGATGCGCAATGGCTGTCTAACATTATTCCAATTCCGATTACCACAAGATGTAGTACGTATTATTTTATAGCAATAACGTTATGTTATTTATCTAATATATTTTAAGAAATGTTGCTAATTCTTATTTACATTTCATCAGATGTCACACTATGAAACACTGGTAAAACTACTTTTGCATTTAGCTAAACATGCACAACAGGAAAGTTATATTCAACGTATTGGAATATTTCTTTTAAATACCCTAGCATGTCAAGTAACAGGCAGAGAAAAACGTTTATTAGGCAATCTCGGTTGTATAAAGACAATGCTTGAACTAATTAAATACAGAGTTGAATCTAGAACATTTGATGATGTTATGGAAGTAGCTTGGTCAACTATGTGGAATGTGACTGATGAAACTCCTATAAATTGTCAACGATTTTTTGAAGAAAATGGCATGCTACTATTCTATAAATGTGTGAAGGTATACAATATTAATCTAATTTATTAAGTTATTATTATTAAATTTATTATTAAGTATCAAATAAAAACAATTATGTTGTTTTTACAGCAATACTCTCGTAAAGAAGAATTATTAAAAAATATGATGGGATTACTTGGTAATGTGGCTGAAGTACAAAGTCTTAGAGTGCATCTAATGCAATTACCATATATGGTTGTTTTTACAGATTTAATACGTACTGTTAGAGAAAGCATTGAGGTATTTTATACTTATATCATAATAAATATATTTAATATTTATATTTTTATAATATTTAGTATATATTTTTTTGTTATTAGGTACCATATAATGCAGTTGGCATATTAGCTCACATAGCATCTGATGGTGTTGGAGCATGGACAATAGAAAAACCTAGTCGGGATGTTGTTCTTGAACTTATGGTTGAAGCTATTGAACGATGGGATATATCATCAGAACGTAATATTAATTATCGTTCATTTTTACCACTATTACGTTTGGTAGATATATATCATACACCACAATGTCAACATTGGGCAGTTTGGGCTCTTGCTAATCTTACAACTGTTTATCGTAAGTATATATATATTGTAAAATTTAATTCTATCTTAATCTATATTTTCAGATATAAAAAAATTTTTAAATTTAAATTTAAATTTTATTATTTATGCAACAACATATAGTACTAACAAGTTTTATTAAAACTATGATTACTTTAACAGCCCATAAATATTGCATATTAGTTATTCGAGAAGGAGGCCTGGAGAAATTGAATACTTTAATCTCAGATCCAAGACCATATGAACGTATAAAAGAACTTGCCCATATTGTAATTGAAAATTGTAGTCATTATAGTAGCAACTCCAATGACATGAATGTTCATTCGCCTTTAGATGAAGATTATATATATAGTTCTGATGGTTGAAACCCGATTTTCATTATTACAATTCAAACATCATAAAAAGTAGAATGTTTTATGTCTGTAATAAAATATCTTTTAAAAAAATGAGTGTGAGTAAGATTATAAAACATACATGCGTTGATTTGCCAAATTGTAAATTTCAAATTGAGTACTCAGACAATCTTACTTGCACTTTTACAACATAAACATTTCATTGCATGTTTTATTTATTACATATTATGAAATATGTTTTAACTATGAGTGAAAATATTAACATTAATGATATTATTAACAAGAAACTAATTAGTTAATAAAATATTTTTGATGCTCATAATCAATATTCAAATTCAAACATACTTCTTATTTATGTAAATAATCACGCTGTATTATAAATAAGACAAAAACTAAAATTAGATTGAAACTATTTGTTTAAATAATAATAATAGATTTCAAAACTTATATTAAGTTTCTTATATCTATATGAATCATTTGTAGATATTTGTATTATAAACAACTTTATTAGTTTCCATTATATTTTTTTTTTTTTTTTTTGATAAAAAATGTTTAAAATAAAAAAAAATACATTAGACTCTATTATGTAAATATAACTAAAATGAAATAAGATGAATTAGGTTTACAAATTTGTACATCTCTATTATTAAAATTAAAATTCTTTCAAATAACGATACTGTTGTTAAAATTAAGCCATAAAACGAACATTATAACTTGAACTATTTGTAGATTTTAGTTATTACTTACACAGCTAGCAAAATATCTGCGTGAATGATTATCTAAATGATTGTTATTGTAATCGTTATGTAACATTAATGTATGCGTGTAATAAATTGCAAAAATTCTTGATTTGTTTAATCTATAACATAAAGTCACATTGACGCCCCTTTCCATTTTTTATTTCATACAATTTTCATTTTTATTACCTAAATGATCAACATGGTAAAATCTTTATCGTTTTTTATAAAATATTTCATTTTAATCCTTGTATGTATAAAATATACTATATATGTAAGTACTAGGAAAATGTGATTTACAAAAAACATATTTCATTACCTAATACTTAAAGATTTTATATAATAATAAATAGTTAAAAATATTCATCTATTGCTTTGTTTAAAAATATTATTTTAATTGCATTATTTTATCATATTTTGTTATACGTAAAATGCATCTGTTGAATTTGTTGGAGCGCATAGGTATTTTAGTGCCAAGTAGTTCAATTTTTTAAATGATGATTCCTTAAAAATATACTATATATTATGAACAAAAAATTAACTTCTCAAAAATATTGGAATAACATAAAATAATATATTTTTGTTAAAAATTATCAATTCAGTGTAAGCTACACAATTACATGCGATAGATGTACGTTATTAAAACATGAGTCAAGTTGATGCTAACTTCCGGTTCGGTTCCTTCATTCCGAACGGTCGTTAGAATTTGGAAGAAGAGTGACGCCACAGCCTTTAGGGAAGACGACATTTTACGTGTATCGCGCGTCCACGGCATGTTTGAGAGATTCTGTTCTAAATCCTTAAATTTTATCATAGAAGTATCAACTGATAAAATCTCACAAAAGAAAAATCACGTATTTTAATAAGGTAAGTAACGTCTTATAATATAAACGTATTTTTCTAAATAAATGATGATTCTAAAATTCTCGCAAAGTGTGGCCATTAATTTGAACAAAGAAGAAAGTTATTGATTTTCATACTAGAAATATTATTAGTTTTTAAAAAAGATTGTATATTTTATCACTGAAATGTAAATATATTGTTTCATGATTATAATACTTATTAATTGTAATAAGTGTCGAAGCACTTTGTTCGAAGTCATGCATAATTGCGAATAGCATGGAATACATATTTTATAATAACATTATTTGTCAAAAAGTATATTTCACAGTTTATTAGTACTATTTATTAGTATCTCCATATATTTGTGCAAAAAATTTGTTATTGTTTTAATAATTTAAATAGATAATGATGGAGATTTTATCCTTGTGTATTATTGTGTTGAAAACAGTATATATTAACAAATTTTTTTCAAATATTTTGTTAATTTACGTTACATTATATTAAAATAATACATAAATTCAATTAATGTATAACTATGAATATACTTCAGTGTTGCAAAGTAGTAGAGTTCGCTAAAATTTTTAATTTGATCAACTGATTAATATTTATGATTAATGAAATCAATCGTCGAGAAATCAGCGATTGATTTAATTGATTAATAGTATTAATTGTCAGTCAATTGTTTATTACATTGGATTTGATAATAATTTCATTTCATATTTTGAAATTAATAAAAATTTGAGCATAACTTTAGAGTTAAGATATTTAATAGAAAAATAAAACATATTCTTGTTTTATACTGTCAAAAAATATTGAAAGATATAGATGGACGCATTTAGTTATAGGCTTAATTAACTTGAATTTTGAATTCCTTCAACATTAAATAAGTAATAATAAAAAATATATTTTGTTGCATTAAGCATTAACATTATTTGAATGTTCGCGGATTTAGAGAGAGAAACTTTATCATTTTTCTATACATCATTGCAAGGTATCTTGACCTCTAGCTGCGAACAAGAAGACACATAGAAAACATTAATTTTGTTACAAAAATCATTTTAACAATTAATCATTAATGAGTTATCTAACTGACAATTAAAGTAATCTTTAATTAATTTTTTATCCAACTCTACAATTTAATACATGAACATTTTTCACATATTTGATATCTATAATTTATGTTAATCCTAAATGTAAGGGACACGACCCAGGTAGTATCGTAAATATGTCGTCTTTAACAACGTGGACCCAGAACATAATACTGTTCAGGGCTATGAGGTACTTATCAAAAACCCTTGGTTGCCCTTGACCGTGCAAACTGCAGTAAAACAATATACTTTCTGATCCCTTGACCAGAAAGGGATACAAAGGGAGTCTAGGTATATAAGGATCGACTCCAACGCACAGTAACCATTAGTTTTTCTCATATTGAGGGTCCATGTTGTGTCTATCCGCGTGTATTGCCTGTTCGTGCCTCGTACTTCTCTTCGCAAGTATTTGTTATAATAATTAGTGTTTGGACTATTGTTCCTTGTGTACATTACTGTAAATATATTAGTAAAATAAAACTTTCTAAACTAATTATGACCTATAGTCATCATAAATGCAAGTTTGCTGTAAATTATGCAAATATAAATTTGAATTTATTTAGATTTTGCATTTTGTTATTTGTATATCTTTTCTAAATATATATATAATGCATCATTTTTATTATTATGTAACAAATTTTCACGTATTTTGATCTTAGATATTTATTTCTACAATAAATGTAGGAAGTACTGTATTAAATATTACTACCAATTAAGTGGTATTTATTTTTGTATCATTTTGAAAAATAATGTTTGATTTTTATGTATAAAGCTTAGTATTAATTATAAAGTATAATTTGTGTATACTTTTTTTATTTTTATAGCTCTAGTATGAGTTCCCGTGGCCGTGGATTTAGTTCTAGAGGAGGCAGTTCTTATAGGGGTAGAGGAGGTAGTAGTGGAAATGAATGGAATAGTGGATCTACAGGAGGAAATATGTCTAGCAGAGGAGGTTACTCCTCGTCTAGAGGAGGCAGATTTAAATATTCAACCACCAGTTATGATTCTCGTTCAAAATATAACTCTGGTTAGTTTGTTTTTTTATAACATATTTTCTATATAGAAACAATATAAAATTTATATAATTACAATAATATTATAAGTTAACAATATTTTTATCATAAATAATATTAATAATTATTTCTGTTTACAATAGGAGGGTCTGAAAGATATTCTAGTAGAGGAGGAAGAGGTGAACATTCAAATAGCTATAAAAGACCAAGAGTAAGTATATCAATAAATAATCATAATTTAAAAAGATATCTACATAAAGAATGAATATTGATTTATTCGTTTATTTTATTTAGGATTCTTATTCTGGGAGAGATGAACATCGATCATCAAGCGATTCAACTCGAAAAAGGATGAGAAGCGATTCGTACCAGGTATGTATCTCATAAGTATAAGTTAGTGATATTTTTATTAAAAAACACCTCAAATAAGTGTTAGTCTATTTTGTTTCAATCTCCTGCCGTGCTGTGGTCAAGAATCATTTTTTCATCTTGAAAGCCCTGCTTCACAAAAGTTCAAATTTTTTAATTACATAGCATGAACAAACGATGGTCCTGAAAGATTTCATTAATAAAATCTCAGTATGAAATTAAAGTATTTTGTTGCATATAAAAAATATTTTCAGGACACTCGTCCAAACACTTACATTTAAAAAAAAAATGTAACAGTAGGCAAGGCATTCATAAGTCGTCATACTTTCCTTTCAAGCGACGAGCCAACGGCTACTTGAACACCCATTCTTTTTGCGTTGGGACACTACTGGTGGAACACTGCGAAAACATCACATAATTAAAAGATGAAATACACCTAGACGGTACTTAATTATTGCCTGCACACAGTTGCATTAAATATTGAGAACAACTTGAACAGTATCAGAGCCAACAGACGAATAGATAAATATATGTATATATATATATATATATATAGAAATATGAATTTTAAAATGCCAATATTACATCAGTATTGTTCTCTATGTAAAACAGTATGTGCAACTGAACCAATTTTCTGTACAATACAGATCAATTATTGAAGTTGAAAACATCCCTGCATTGCCGCACCGCAAAAATTTTTAACAAATACTGCTCTATACAATTTTCTAAATTACATCAATTAAAACTTATCATTGAGATAATGAAATAAATTGTTAATAACGTCAAATCGTAGACCTTTCCAATATAAAGGACATACATCCTAAGTTATGTTCAATTGAAAATGACTGAGAAACATCAACCTTTTTTAAATATATGTGTCTCTACCTTATATCTACAGATTGAAGCTAGAATATGTGCTGGAAAGCTTTACAAAGCAGTGAAAGTACACAAAGTATATTTTTCACATTTTATCCTTACAGCAAATGTATAAGGATATAACATTATATATAACTACAATTTTATTAGTTTTATTTGATTTCTTGGTTTATATAAGTATGCGTGAGGCATTGAACATTACATGAAAGAGTGCTTTACAAATATGAATATATAAAAACAGATCTATCTTTATTAAAATTGGAAAGGTCTATCAACAACTAACCCAGAATCATGCAGAATTCAATTCATTTGATATCTTCAAGCAAATGAATGCTGATCAAAGCTACTATTCAGAGCTCGTACCTATGAAATGAAATGATAAGACTCCTCTTACATTTTTGAAAACTAAAAAATCGTCTCTAATAAAATAAATAAAAAAAAGCGGTATGCAAAGTTATTTATATTTGAAATATGAAAAATAAAAAATAACTTAGGTGCTTTTCAAGCTTAGGCGAGGTAAATAATATTTTGGTGATCCAACGGGAATGGGTGTAGTGACCGTAACAGTACGAGGTTGGATGATTTTGTACTAAACGATTGGCACTATAATGAGTGGTGGTAAAATAAGGGAGTGCAAAAGAATCAACTTGGAATGGAATTAGAAAAAAAAAATATATGGAGAATATCTGATAGGAGGGAACAAAGGGGAGGAAATATATATAGATTAAAAGAGAGAAGGGCAGGAAAAGAGAAAGATACAATGGGAAGGAGCACAATTGAATTTGATTTGGCAGGGTGGAGGTAGCGGTAGCGGCTCTCAGAGGTATTCTTCGTCGTATGGTGGTTCATCTACATCAGCTCCTTATGACGATAATAAGGGATCATCGTCTTCGGCCGTGTATGAGGACAAGAGACAGAGCGAACGTGCCTCGTCATACCATCGCTCAGAGGACCGCCATTCAGCATCACGGAGCTATGCACCTCCACCACCCCCTCGAATTAGTGAAATGGCACCTCCAACTCAGAGATATAATTCGAGCCGAGGGCGAATATCGCATCAAAGCTCAAACTACAGAGGTCGCATTTCAACTCGCGGCAGCGGTAGAGGGGGTGGATTCCATCGTATGAGCTCTCGATCGGACGTCATCATGGCTCGCAAGCGTACTCTACACTCGCTCGACTATCGACGCAAGCTGCTAGGATCGCGATCGCGAGACTACATCCAGCGTGTGCGCATGACAACAACCAAATTGCGCAGGAGGTAATTAATTAATAAATCACTTACCAACCGCAATACCGTCCTAGTAGCCTGCTTGCTTATTTGTCAGTAAACGAACTGACTATATCTGACTACAATGACTTGAAAGTCAAGACGATGATAGATATATAAATGGTAAAAGAAAACACAAAAAATGACACAAATGATCGCACGAAACCAATATTGTACTGCCGAGAGGCAAACTTTTCGCAGGGTTCTAAATAAAAAATAAAATAAAAAAAAAAAAAGGGAATTGATACAATGCGTATATCATCAAAATGTAATTACTTTTGATATGAGAACTACTATAATACTTGTACTTTACGAGATCATTATTTATCATTCTTACACATAGCGGTGATTAAAACCAGTATAAGAACGTTGTTTCTTATATACATATATATATATAAATATTTTAAAACGCGAAAATGCGGAGACATAAGAGCACAATGCAGAGCAAAAAGGCTGAATAGTTAAGACCTTTATTGCAATACGAAATGCATTCATTATGGGGTATAAAAGAAAAACAAATACTATCGCGATATTTGCTGTATATCAACTATAAGAAAACAAAATTTTGGTTGATATAATGAAAGACAAAGGAAACAGAACAAGACGAAGGGAAATAATGTAAGTCAAAACAAAATTGCTGTGTCGTTAGTAGCGGTACTACTAGGCTATCCGGAAGTAAAAAGGAGTCAGGATCAGGAACGAGCATGAAGGACAAGGATAGAGAGATGACCAAAGCTATTAACGCTGAATTTTCCGATGACGATGAAGAAGATGATGATAACAAAAGTAATTGGGATGATGATGACAAGGTAACTTCATAGGGCTGATAATATTTGCTCCTATTGTCTATATGCGTATTGTGTGCTAATAATGGCAATACTTACTGTAATATTTACCGACATTAATTCAGCCACATGAACGTGATGATGATGAAGAAGAAGAAGAGGAAGAGAAAAAGAAAAAAGATGAAAAAAGAAAGAAAGAAAAACAAGATCGGGAAAGACAAAATACCGAAGATGAAGAAGAGAAAGAGGATGAAGTGAAAGATGAAGATGATCGGAAACATGAGGTGAGACAGATTAAAATAAATTTTACCATTTCAATTATTATCCATTACAATGAACATTTGTTATGTATATATTTTTAGGATGATGAGGACGATGGGGATGATGAAGAAAGAGATGAAAATGATAAAACAGATCATGGTAGAACTACTGGTTCAGAAGAATTACCCAGTAGAAGAGACGGAAAGAAATTTATTAAATTAACTTGTCCACATTGTGCTCATCGTAGTGTTACTTTCAAGGAATATTCTCTACATTTGTATTCGGGCCGTCATAGTGCAGCAATGAGACGAATTGCATCACGGCATAAAGCAACTCTGACCCGTATGCGTGTTTTACAACGACAAGAACAACGACGTGTTGAGGCCCGAGATGCTGCGCGTGGTACTTTGCCCTCTCGTACCATGTTCTGTCCGATCTGTAAACTTAATTACCGTTCTCTTAAAGCAATACATCAGCTATCAGATTCCCATCGTCAAATGAAGCGATTCCTTACGCCATTTTGCCGTACTTGTCGTATCCAATTTCGATCACCAATGCTTTTTGAAACTCATATGTGTTCTTTGGATCACATTAAGGTATTATTCTTGTTACGATATTAAATTCTTTGAAACTCTAATATTATATTTTATACCTGTGTATCTTTCAGAGGAAAAATGCATTGAAAGAGAGAATGAACGCCGGCAATGGCGAAGCAGAGGCCGATTCGAGTGGACCTGAAGAGGATGATAAGGAAGTTAATCTCGACAATTTTATGACTCTCGATTCTGTAGGTGATGTTGATGGTACGTGCAATTATTAAACGTTTTACTTTCTCTAATAAATATTCGGTATTAATAATTAGATAAACATAATTTTCAGCAGAAGATGAAGAGTCTCCCGAGAAAAAAAAAGAAAAACCAGAAAGTGAGGGCACAAACGACACAGAAAAGAAGCCTAAAAGCAAACAAATGATTAAAGTTGGGGCAGAATACATAAAACGTGTTGAAGTACAGTTTTGTGAATTGTGTAAGATATATCTACCACGTAGTGAAAATAGTGAAAGAGCAATAGCACTTCATTGTTCAACCAGAAGTCATCTTAAACGGTATAAATTTAAAATAATAAATTTATAAAAATTCTTGCTTTTGTTTCGTTAATTATTGATCTAAATATAATGTGTTATGCAGATATGTGCGTGATAATGATGATAAAGCATTGCGAAGGCAAGCAGAAAGAATACATCTGCAATCATCGTCATCCACTAATAATACTTCTACTCCAAACACTGTAAATACAGAAAATGTTAAATCTCCAACTAATTCTGAACCACCATCTACAAATAACACTTTGCCAGTAACCACAACTGATGGCACTAATACTACTGAATTGGGTAAAGCAATTGAGCAAAAAGGGACTATTGAATCAGAGAAAAATATGAAAGATAATAAAAATGGACAAGCGGAAGAAGATGATGATGATGATTATCCTGGCGATAGTGGTGATAAATTGTGGGATGATGTTGATAAAGACTTGGGCGATATTTTAAGAGAAACAGAAGCAGGAGGTAAATCTAGCGATGATGAGGATTCTCGTTATGATCGTTTTCGTAATTCAGATAAGAAACAACAACATTCTGGCAAAGACAAAGAAAGGGATAGCGAAAAGAATGAGATAGATGAGAAAGAAAACATAAAAAAACAAGAGCTGAAAGTAAAAATTGAAAAAATAGATATGTAAAGTCCAAGAATTACTAGTACGTTTCAACCATATCCTAATGTGATTTTAATTTTTTCTACAAAAATATGTGAACTGTAGAAATACACACATATATACATACACACACACATACATACATACATACATACATGCATACATACATCGGGATTTCATATGAAAGTTATTTTTGTAAGATTAAACAGTTATTTTCAATCAAATTAACAAAGATCTATGTACAATACTATTTTTTTTTTTTATAGGTTTGTTGTAAAAATGTTGTAAAAATGTGTCATTCAAATAATGTTTATTTCATATCAAGTTACAACTATATAACTTCGTTTAGATTGTTATTTACCAAATATTGGACATGCTTGAAATGTACACATCGATATAAACTTCATAATGTTCAATTCCTTTGTAATTCAAAAAGTCACTATGTACGCACATTTAGTGACATTAATGTTAGTAAAAACTGTAAAAGAAATTATTCATGTAAGCATGTTAAGTATAGTTGTGTAAAAGTAGCGGTTATTTGTGCATTACGAATTGGATGAAAATCTGCAGAAAATAATTAAAAAAATTTCAATTAATTTTTAATTGTAAATGAGCATATTAAAAAATCAATGAAACTTGTCATATATAGATAAGTATAATAAATATTATATACATCTTAATGTTTTGTTTTCTGTGTTTATCTTATAATTCAATAAAGTAAGCAAATTTTCCTACAATTATTGGCATTCATTAAATAAGTTTTTGTTTTTATTAATTTTATTATATTTGATTTGTATAACTTACATTTATTACTTTTTCTTGCTTGATGTATTATATACAGATATTTGTATTTTCATCGATCTTCACAAGATGGCATAAGATCAACTCAAGCTACATCATTTTTTAATGTTATAAGTTGTGAAAAGGCTATATTGCACTGATACGTTATTTTTACCACTTTATTATAAAACATGGGAAAGAAAAGTACAGTGTAATATTTATAATATAAAGTTGTAAATTTTTTTATTTTGTATTATTTTCTTGCAGTTATACACCTTACATATTTCCTATTTTGTATCTTAACCTTGATTAAAAAATAATTGTCATTAGTTCAATGGCAAATATAACTTCAATGTTGTCAATAGGACGACATGATATTTGTTCTGAAGATATTGCCAACAATTGCATAAATGTAACTGGTAATGATTGTAATAATTCAAAAACATTGGAAGATTTACAATGTTTTGTATGTGATGCAAAAATTCAAGGACGTTATTATGCTTTGGCTACATGCAGAACACAGATATCAAGAACTAGAGTAATAGAAAAACTTGGAGAATTAGTTGGTGAAAGGTAATATCTCATTATGATATTTGTGTGTACATAATTTAGTATGTATTTCAGTTACTGCTTTAAAATGATTATATTTTACAATAGATATATGGTAGTGATATCAGAAGATGATGTAATTTGTCGAAGTTGTGCTAATCTTATTAATACACTTGATAAACTTGATGTTGAAATGTGTAATGTACGTGATAATATTTTGAGATTCTTGGAACAAAAATATTCTTTAGAAAAGGGAGAGCTTCTTGGTAATGAGAAACAAAAGCGTTCTCAACCACCACAGATTACAAAATGTAACAATCAAGCTGTAACTAATTATCCAACTAGGAAAGATGTTACCTTATCCTCAAATATTACTGAAAAATCCAAACATAAAAAGAATAATATTTGGTTGCAATGTGATAAGTGTCAATATACCACACTTCATAATTCATTTATGGTGCATCATATTAGGGATCATATTAAACAAAAAATATTTTGTGATAAATGTGGTGTGCAATTTTATGAAAGTCAACAAGACTCACATAATTGTAATATGAAAGAACATATAAGTGATCAGACTAAAATTCAAGATAAACAAGCAGGTTTCTCAAACTGTTTACTTTTAATATGATAAAAATGAACTTTTATTCTCAGTAAATTATATTCTAAGTGCCTTTCAGAATCATCTTTAAAAAGTATTGATGAAACTATATTGGATATTCCAATTTTGGAAAGAAATGTACAGCAAAATGTACCAATTATGACTATTGAAACATATTCTGGATCACAAATTTCAAATCATAATGAAAATATTCCTATAATAAGATTATCAAATTCTGAAAATTTATCAATACAAAATATTTTAACTTCTGGTAAGAATTTCAGATTTATATCTAATTGAAAAATATTTTATTACAAAACGTTTATGAATTATAGAGAATAATTCTGCAAATGGTCAACCAATATATGTACGTATTTTACAACCTGTTGAAACTAATGAAGTACCAACACATCCTACAGTGATGGTATCACATTCTGATACAGATTTAGCTATGAAGCTTAAAGATAATTCAGAAAAACAAATTTTAACATTGACAGAGGATGGTAATTTGGAAATGACAGAAATAGCTTGCTGGAATGACATACAATCATCAGAGTCACAATCCAATATAATGTTTCAATAAGTCAATTTATTAAATTAGATAAAAATTTTATTTACTTATTTTTATCAATACCATAAATAACAGTTATTTACATTTGCAATAACATACTTTTTTTTTTATTTTAATAACCAACACGTATTTTTCATATGTTGATTTCTTTTGTTTCTTTGTCACTGCCGCTTGTTTGTAAATTGAAAACTACTTTATTTGTTTAGTAGTTTCCAATCATCATTTTTCTGATTTCATTTAAGATGCGATAGCTTCTTTGTTATTTAGACACCGAATGGAAACTACGTATAAATATAAAGAATTATTACAAAGATAAAAATGAAATTTTTTTTTATAATATAAGAAACAAATATAATACGTTGAATAGTTTAATATATTAAAACTATGTCAAATTTACCTTAGAATCAAATGTTCTATCTTAAAAATATACCACCAATAATATTTTGTATACTGTCATATCGTGTACAATATCGAATATGTTTTTAATATTATCGTTTGTAATATCTATTCCAGTTTTTATAATATCCTGGATACCATGGGAAATTCCAGAAGCAACATTTTCAATGTTATCAACTATACGTCCAATAATATTATTAGTATTACTCACAATGTTACTAACAACATTGTTAATATCATTCAACACATTGCCTAACAAAGTGTTAGAATCTTTTGCGACATCATAAATTACATCATCCATATCTTTCGTGACGTTTAAACCATTCAAATCTATGTTTTTCAATGGTGCATGATATTTGTAATATGCTCGAGGACATTGTGAATTTGTTTTTCAATGTCCTTAATTATATTATAAATAAATACATTGATATTGCTTGACAGATGGTGAGCCTCTTTCCTTAACATAGACAATATTTTGTTCAAAGTATCAATTTTTTCTTTAATTTCTTTGGCATGTTTTGTTTCTGCTATTGGATAATTTTATTTATAATTTGGACAATTTTATTTATGAGTTGGTGTACTTTTTCTTCCGTAAAATTCTTCATATGGTTCACAATCTGGGAAAGCTTTTTCATGAACGTTTGTCAAGGTGTTATTTATTCCGTTTTCCAAATTATCAAGTGCAGCGATAACGTTCTTAAAGGTATCTTTTATTTTGTTTTTAATGATTTCTTTCGCCTTTGAAGGTGTTTCAGTTTATTAACTCTTTAGATGTTGAAATTAATCTTGCGTTTTGCGCTTAATATCAGCTACCACTTTGGTTGTTCGTTGTATCGCTTGTTGCATATCATGTTCGATCAATTGTATCACGTTCTTCAAGAACGCGCTAGTGTCGGATTTAATATGTTTAATGTTGTTTTTAATATGGTCGATGATGTTTGATACGATATACTCTATATTTTTAAAAATATCTGGAACCGTTTGTCTTATCCGATTTAAAATTTGAGGAGTTTGATCTTTAGCTTGTGCGAGTTGCTTTTCAAGAGCTTCTTTCAAAATTTCAGCAGTATAATTGGAAATCTGAGAGAGAGTTCCTTTTATATCATTTACAACATTAGCCACTGTTTCCTTGATCTCTCTCTGATCCTCTGGTTTTTCTTTAAGTTCTTCTTCAAAATTTCTTAATTCATTCCTAATGTCAGATATTGTATTGTTTATAGCCTCTCTTGCTGCTTCTGCAATTATATGAACATTCTCTTTGATGTTCTTTATGTTTTCTTTTAACGCTTCCAGAACATTATTAATAACTCTTTGGGTTTCGTTTCTCAACTTGTCCAACTCATCTTTTATATCGTGTTTTGTGCATTCTCAATCACATGTATAAGATTTTTAGCTTTTTCATTAATTCTATGCAATTCGTTTAACGTAGCATTCTTTATATTTTCAAGAATATCGTGGGCTTTCTGTTTAGCCTTATCTATCATATTTTCCAAAGATTGGCTCGTGTTCTTTAATTTCTCCAAACTCTTCTCAACGAGCTTTTCAAATTTCTGTGTGACGTTAAAAGTGTGACTTTATCATCAAGATCTTCAAGATTTTCCTTTAATTTTTCGGAAGCTTTCGAAAGTCTGTTTTTGGCTGCTTCTATCTGTTTTTGTACGATATTTCTGATGTGCTGGAAGGCATCATCAGACTTGTTCTGAAGATCATGTAGAATATTTTTCAAAATACTCTTAACGTTGTGGAAAGCGTCTGTGGATTTATCTTCGACCAATGCGATCTGATCTTTCACATGTTGCCAAAGATGCGTGGAATCATTTGTTACATTTTGCAGACGTTTCTCGATCATATGTTTTACTATTTGGTCTACTGGATCAAATGGGAAAGTCTGTATTAAAAAACCAAAGAAAAGAGAATGATCAGATAATAGTTAGAAGAGAAAGAATCTTATTACGAAATGAAGAGATGTAGAATATCTTGTAAGTAATTAAAAATCATACATTCGTATAGTTAATGAAATTATCGAACATGATGATTTCAAAATAAAATGTTATAAATTAAAGTGTTATACGTACGAGAACAGCAGAGATGCCGAGAATGGCGAAAACTGGTAAAAACTTAAACATTATCTTCAATGATGATGTAGTTAAATAAGTTTTGAGCGAATTGTTAAAAATGTGTGCTGCGATTCGAATTCGATCACGATTTATATATCTATCTTCTCCTGTTATAATCGACATCTGTGTAAATAAAAAATGAACATATATGGAACCTATTAACAAAGTTTGAATAACAGCCATAATATTTACTTATTGTTACAATTCATAAATTAAACATCGTGTTATCTAATTCAAACAACTCGTTAAGTTTCTTTTATTTGAAAATCAAGTAACCAAGATGAACATTAAACGAATGATCGTGCGTCAAAGAAAATGCTTATCGTTAAAATAATAGATTTGATATTTTAAATTTTAATACGTAATGATTAAAATTATTAGTGATTAAATTTTCACTTTTTCCTTTCTAATGCTCAATTAATTTCATATTTGCCGCGTTATTGTTCCAATTCTCTTACTACCGTTCAATTTGTTTAATTTAGAATCGTCAAACTTCAGTATGTATTTCAATAACTATTTTTGCAAGATCTTATGAAAATTGTATGCAAATTTTAAAACGATGTAATAGCTTTTCTTATCAAACTGAAGTAAAGTAATCTGAAAATAATAAATGTATATTATATTCTTGAAACAAAATACTGGCTAGTAATATTTATCCAGCTCATTGGTAACACTGTTATTTCAAATCTTAAATGGCTGCCGTAGTAAGCGTTAAACGTTAAAACTGTCATAACGTTGTTTGATCAAGCTAATGTGCAATAATGACATAAAAATCACATAGTAATGATGGAAGAATTCAATGTTGATATTGTGCATGTTCTTCAGAATAGAGACTTTAGTGTATTACAGAAATTAATACCGTATTTGTATGACTTTCGAGCAAAAATTGCAGCTAAAGTTGAAGATGCAACTGCACATGAATCTAGTATGTACACAATATATTCTTTAATTTATAAATTTTAAACTATGTTTTTTAGATTGTAAATGTTTTGATCACGCTTTGTATCCAATTTTAATGAATATTTAAAAACTTATCCATCTCAAACTTAAAATAACCGAATATGATAAAAAATGTTCTGAGCATGAATGAATTTTAGATGAAACACTCAAAGGATTAAATAAATTCCTTAAATAATTAGGTATCGAATAGCGTATACACTTTCATGTTATTTCTACTTAAACACATGTTTCTAATAATATTTTTACATTGCTTTTCTTCTAGATTGTATAAAGAAAAGAACACAAAGTGAAAGCAAAATATCAGAATTACAACAAGAAATTGAAAGTTTAAAATCTGAAATAGATGTAACAAAATTGCAACAAAAGATTGTAGATAAAAAGATTGCAAATGGAATTAAACAGGAAGAAGAATTAGAAGAGGAAGTGAATGGTGCAAAATTAAAGAGAGACAATTTAACAATTGAAATTGTTGATTTACGTGAAAGTATTTATTACAAACATTTGTAAACATATTACAAATATATCAGTGTCATGATCTTATAAAATATTATTTTCAGAATCAGAACAAAGGAAAGCACATAAAAAATCAACTTGGGATGGCATTAAACGCGCTTGTAAAATTTATAGACAATACCTAGACTTTCATATACATTTAATCCATGAAAAAGAAGGGGAACAACTTAAAGTTTCTTTTTTTGTAAATGACCCTAACACAGAAAATGAATACTTTGTGAGGTTACTTAATTGTAATAATCAATGGAAAGGTATGCAATATACATTGATTTTTTTACAATTGTATGATACTAATCTATACGAATATATTTTCTAGTGGAACAGATTCAACCTTCGCTTAAGGAACAACATCTGACTGATTTCGAAAGAATTATTGACTTTTCTAAACAATCAAAGGTTTCAGATATGACTGCATTTCTCTGTAAACTCAGATATATTTTTACTAAATATTACTTAAATGTAAAATAAAATTGAAAGTTTATGTAGGTAAGGATATTCTTACAGTATTGACACTATTTATTATAAGAGTAAAGCCTTTATTAATAAAAATTAATATCTGAATTGTCTTATTACATATTAAAAATTTGCAACACTATACATCGCAAAACTTGACATTGGTATGGTTTTATTAAAATATATTCGTTATTAGTATAAGTATTTGTTACATATATTGTGACATGTATCTTAATGTACTATTTGCCTACAGCATAGATTGAAAACAGTAAACTGCTAATCACAGTGTAGATAAATTACTAAAGTTACAAAGAAGTTTCCATTTGATTTCTACTTATATATGGCACCTATAGTGATTTGAAATTATCTATCATGAGCGGTTAAGTTTGTTTGGAATTATTAATTTTGCTAAATTGTAAATATATTTGACTTATTTATCTATTTATCAAACAGTTGTTATAAATATTATCTAATACTCAATTATCTCAATTTCAACTTCTCATCGTCTTTAAAAGTCTCTTATAAAAAAATTATTTAATTAATAAATTATTTCGATAAAGTTCTAGTTATTGAAGTTACAACAGTCGATAGTAATAACTATTTTTTCATTTCCATGAATTAAAGAAAAGTTACATTTAATATAAAATGAATCTTTTTAAGATAAAAGAGACGAACATATAACATTATGAATAAATTTTTAATAATATTATTGTTTCAGTATTTGCACCGAAGAAAATTCTGGAAGTTTCGATTTTTGACGATTTTGATTTTATTTAAATGTATGTATTAGATTGTATCAAGAAAAATTGTGTTTACGTTGAACGGTGAAAATTTGTTAAATTCAATTTGTTTCATCGTTCTTGCGGAAAATCGAATTCTTCACTGTTTATTGTATTTTACATTCAATTTTGATATTAACATAACTACTTACGAAATATTTACGCGTCTTACTCATACATGGAAAGGGCCAATTGATTATGTATGCATAGAAGCACGTTGATAACAATTCATCCCTATTGGCAAGAGTTAACGAGAGAGTCAATTGATCGCCCACTGCCAATCAGCTCATATCGCGTACACAACGTAAGTTAACAGATTTCACTTACACTATTGACCCGCCCGATCGTTCATTTACTCGATCATTCAAGAATTTAATTAAAGATCGAAACGTTGACGATGGGAATCGATGCGTTACTATGATGTACACTAGCCGTATTCACGTTGTCTGCGTTGATCAGGTTCGATACGATTAATATCTAATGAATAATCTCTGTTTATTACATTTAATTTAAAAGTTCATTTTTTTCGCTTAAGAGAAAATAAATATTCAACTATTATACTAATGCGAGAATTCTATATGTTATCTTACATAATATAGTGGCATACTAGATATTATTCGTATGAACCGATATTAATAATGAATAATCTAAGGCAATCGGAGCACGAAAATCTTGATACACAATACGTCACATAAGCGTTACGGATAATACTTTGAAGTATGGATGATTAACGATAATTTCGAGCTCGATTAAAAGCTAATTTCATTAATCGATCCCGAAAACTTTGTATGTATGTATATGTGTGTATATTTCAAGATATTAATAGAAGTAGATGAAAATCCTAAATAATACGAGTTGGAATGCGAATTGAAATTTGTAATGAGACGTTCGAAAGATCATCTAACTCTATCTATTGTTAAACAGGACGTATGGTGTGAAAAAAATAATGGAATTAATGACTATTTACAGTGTAACGATGTCGTCTATTATAAAACAAAAACTTTAACAAATTGTTCCTGAACTTCGATTTAGACAAAGATGGTATTCCGACAACTCTTTCAGCTTGTGTTCGGCACGAATATATAACATACATGCTTTTTCTTTTTTTTATTTTTTCAGGAAATGTTACAATTCGTTTTCGAGTTTTTGTGCTCTACTATCTAACACGTATAGAGAGATCGTTCTGTCACAATAAAAGGAACAACGTCTCTCACGATATGTGATGAAAACTCGCTAAAATAAATATATATCTTTACTTAATAATTACTACAGCAAATGCAGTACACATCTACCGATTTAAAGACCGATGCAATCAGTTTTTAACTATCGATTATAGGATTAGCGACGTATGAGATGTCCCGTTAGTGTCTCATGATGTTAACGAATGCATGTGTGTGTTATTCTGTTACTATTATTATTATCATCATTATCATTATTATTATTATTATGCAGCTTCCTTTTCATTCGAATGCTTCCAAGAAATCCACGCAAGCGGATTAGATTAACGAACTAAAACGCCCGTGTCGAACTTGAAAACGAGACTGCACCAAGAATCACCCGTTTATCACAATGGCCAATAGTACCCTCGATATCCATTTCAGTGTCCATTTCATAGATATCTATCTTTGTAGCATCGTACAAACGGGCGACCGCGAGTCGAATAAATTCTTCCTCTCGATCGTTTCTTCCTTCTTGTTCGTTTCCGTTTTTTAACTTTATTGTGCCGATCGATCGTATCTTACGTTCTTTATCCTATTTCCAGTGGACTACTCGAGGGTCGCTGCGAAAGAAACATTTCCTCCGGAAGCAGCCGCCGCGGCAGCTAACAACAACGTCGGTGGCAACGGCGGAAGTGGCGACGTTTGCTCGGTGGGAGTTGAAACGGTCGTTGGACAATTATTGGCGACACCATAGACTTTGGCGTGATTGACTTCGAAAGCCACGGTCAAGTCTGCGAGTCCAGGATCGCACAACACCGGATTATCTGCAAACAAAAANAAAAAAAAAAAAAAAAAGAAGAAAAAAAATAACATCGGAACATTGCAAAAGAGGAGCTTCTTTTTCTTTCTTTCTTTCTTTTTTTTTTTTTTCTTCTTCTATGACGTATATCAAAGACAGATAAACAAAAAATTAGATAGGCGTCTGGTTGGCACACTTTCTAAGCAGAAAATTGGTCACAACCATGACGTCGCGAATAGCGAATAACGTGCTCCGAAGCACGTTGCATATAGATATATGGCGAATCACGTGTGACGGAAAATTCGAGTCCTGTTGGAAGGCCTTGAAAAGCTCTGATATCTACGATTTTTATATCTTTAATAATTTATATAATAAATGGAGGTTACGAAAACTATCAAGTCCATCAAGAATTCTAGTTATGCCCAAAGTGACACGAAGTTTCATCGAATATTGACGAACTTCGAATTTCTCCTAAGCTGACTGAGAAATCGGACGTGGTTGAAAACGACAGTTCCTCGAGATTTTTCGAGGGAGATTTTTGCAAACGGATGCTGACTGAGATAGGGGAAATGCTTGTTTGTATCTCGATGATGGAATTCTTAATCGGTCGTGAGAGGCCTCGTAAACATACGATCGCGTATCACGCATCCGATAACAATAACAGCGGCGATAAAATTGTCACGAATCGGTGATCTGTACGTGGCGAGAGAGAGGAAAAGTCATTCAATGAAAGTGTGAACGAAAAGGGAGGCCGAAGAAATAATGAAGCTGACCGAGATAACAGGATTGGATAATGGTACCATGAAACCAGTGCATATATGCGTATGTAACAATAACAACAGTTAACAATCCATCTTCGATATATACAATAAATAATACGAGATGGCGCCACGACGGAGGTTATCGCGTGAAATGTAACTTGTAACAAAATAATGTACAGCCTGAGAGCTGAACGGAGCCACGTTATTATCAAGTAATAATTTATTTTCTGCTGCCACCGGCCACTCTCATGACCCGTTCCCTCTTTCTGTCTTGTTTCTTCTTCCATGCCGCTTGGCCTCGCGACACTTAACGATGTATTTATTAATTACGCACTGGCGCCCATTCAACGCGTCTGCGTTCCACAAAGACGTTATCCTTTTGCGAGGGTGGAAAGCAAAATCGAATGACCGTTCGTATCGTACGATCGGATGACACGTCGTTGTACCAACCAGACAGATTATGCGTATTTGCGCATTGTTAAGAAGAAATTCTCACTGTATTGTAAATTATGATCGTTGTTATAAGTGAATCTTTCGTTCTTACAAGTGAATTACGAGTGTTGATGAAAATTCATATTTTCACAAACGAAACTGAATGAATAGACCCTAGAATAAGAATTTGGTTTCAAATTTTCCTTCATATTTTAAATATTACTAATATTGCTATAACATGATAAGTATCATTAACGTAGTGTTTATGACTTCAGATATTTTGTATATTCCTGCACGTTAAGCATTATGCACATTTTTTTGCATACAAATTCTTCATAATATAAACATCCGCACTCTATTTGTACATCGTGTTTTCTCGAACTCACTTTGTTGATCTATCGGTGGAGTTATTACGTGTCGTTGATTCAGAGATTAGAACAAAGTGAGATTAGAAAATTTTCGGCTTTGTTTCATGAAATCTGCATTCCCGGAATTGGAGATATTCCATAGGAAACAAAGAAAAATACACCTGTGCTTGCCAATTCTTTCGCTTGCGCAATGTAGGAGATTCCGGTCTTTTATCTGTCAATGTTTTCTGCATCATTAAAGAAATGACGCATCGATCCTGTATTAAATGAAACCTCGCCTTTAACCTTATCATCGATTGGAAATATTAGGTACATAAAAAATATATTTTACGACTTTTCTGTATCATAGATAAGTTCTAATCGAAGTTCATTGCTTACCCGTCAAGAAAACTCTTTCATGTTCTTCAAACTTTCTTGTGACTATTACCTACTTCTTTCTGCCAAAAATTATTTTGCAAATGATTCGCAACCAAAACTAAATCTCGAATTATATATCACAGTAACTAAATGTATAAAACTTGTTGAGAACGAGTTGTACAAAAATAAAATTACATTTTGAGGAGAATTCAGATTATTCGAATTTTGTGCACGAACTTCTCCTGATGCCCAGTCATTTGTTTTAATCAAACACACTGAGGAAAGAAATTGATAATTGATACAAATTTATTCAAGCCTGTGCGATCGCGTAATATTCGATAACGCTGATAATGATACGTTTAATCTTACCTTGAAGATATATGCGAAGTACGTCAGGCACTCCGTGAACAGTGCAACGTGTGTTCGCCACGAGTTCTGGCATTAGAGTACGTATCCGATTTGCACTCACATCTGCCCAACAGAGAACAGGAAATCCACGGAAGTCTCTTTCAGACAATGTCACCAAACGATTGTGCGACGCGTTCAGCTCTTCGAGAGAGGGAAGCCACGTCTATGCAGAATAATCAACGAACGACATTGTGATAAAGTTGCAGGGTATGTTTAACTTGTTTTGTACATATTGTAAGAAATTGCAAATATATATCATTAATTTTTAAAATGATTATTTGTTTCAAAAATATATATATATATTGGTTCTTATTTGGTTCTAAATAAGCTTCTTACAAGTACAGATTGGAAAGAGACAGGACAGATGTTTTTTTTTTTTTTTTTTTTTTTTAATAAAACTTTATACTTCCGTATTATTATAGTATGACAGTATTGATCGAGACGAGTTCAGCAGTTTTTAATTAAAGGTCACTCACGAGTTTCATATTACTGTAAATTTTGTAAAAGATATTTTTCCACGTAATGTGTACCTAGACGAATTCGAGAATATATAGTCTTCACGGTAGCCATTCAATTAAACACGATTATACGTTTGAATAAATTTCATGCACGTTATACCTCTGACGTATCTTCAAGTGTAGTAAGCTCGTTGTGAGAGAGATCGAGGACTTTGAGACCATCGAGACCTCGTAGATCACGCTGTCCAATCGTCGGTCCTAAAGCGTTGTAACTGAGATTTAGCTTCTGCAATTCCTTCATTCCAAGAAACAACGAGCCGTCCAAGCTTCGTAGCTCGTTGTGTTGCAGTTGCATATCCTGGATATTTCCACCCGCCGTTTCTTCTCCTTCCTCCTCTACTAAATTCTGTAAATATCAGATAAGAAACAATTTTTTCGATTCGTTGTGCTTGACTAAAATGTTTTTTTTTTGTATACAGTTTGAGATACAGCTTCTAAAATATCTAAATACTTTAATAATAAATATCTTCATTTGCTGATGTAACGTTATGTACAGTTTTTTTTTATCCTTTCGAATGCAAAGAATTTAGATCCGTAAAATATAGTTACATTTGAAATAGTTATTGGGAATTAAAAACTATCAAATGTTCCCGCGAACAAAAACATGTATGTACTTTTTTTTTCAGAACTGTCTTGAATCGCGATGGAAATAAATTAATCCGGATATTAAGCGCGTACCTCTGACGGTGTTCTTCCTCTGTGGAGCCGCGCGATTCTGTTGTTCGAGAGATCGAGCAAACGTAGCTCGCGCAGGCCACGAAGTGACGCGAATGAGAACTCGCGAAGCTCATTGTGCGTCAAATTTAAACACTTGAGAGATTTGAGAGGGTAAAGGACACTATTACTCCCATTTCCATCGCCGTCATCACTAACCGTGCTGCCCAGCGATTTTAGAGAATTGTGTCCCAGCTCCAAGTCTTCTAACATCTCTGCCTCTATGAAATCTTCTTTCGTCAACTGAGAACAAACATTTTGCTTGATGCAACATTATCACTCGAAAACAATATTTCCTATCATCTGTCTATTGAAGATTTTGTTAATTATTACTTTTCCTTATGAACAATATTAAACGATTATTAATTGACAGTAAAGGTCTCCTTGCAAAAGTAATATTGACAGCTTTCATTCGTAAAGAGCGAAGGTTGTCAATACTGTGCTAGAAAACGATCGTATCATCTATTATTAAGAGCGAAACCTTTGTAGTTGATTCAAAAAGTCGATCAAACGTCGAATTACGGAGCGAAGACCATCGAATGCCAGACGTCCATCGCAATAAAAGTTTAATCCAACGAAACGAAAGCGTACGACATAATAATTACATTAGGTAGCTACATTAGGATGTAGTAATTGACTTAATGCATGGAACATTGAACGAACGCCTCCGCGAGTTATCATACATCTTGATCGTGCACTTGCACTTCATATGGGTATCTCCGTGTTCTACACGTCACCGTTGCGTCGCCATCAACGCATTTTATCAACCAAACTATTTAAACATGATAAAATTGCAGGTCGAATCGAACATTTTATAAACTGAACTATTTAAACGTAATAAACTTTAGGTCTCATCAGAAGAGAATTTCAAAGATGTTGGCTGTTGGTACTTAAATTGCTTTTCTTATTTAACGACCATTTCTGTTATAACAAAATATAAAAAGAAGAAAAAATAATTTATTATCAGTATGCCTGATCATTGATTACCTCTTGCAGATCGTTGTACGAAAGTTCGAGAAACTTCAATCTACGAGCCTTTTGCAGCGTGCCATCGAGGCTGCGAATTTTATTGTGCTGAAGATACAGACTTTCCAAACGGTGCAGGTAGCGAAATTCGGCTGGCAAGTGAGTTAATTTATTGTCCACGGCGTAGAGCATCTTCAGGTTGTGGCCAGAGGATGGTAGCTCGCCGTCTAGAGATGCGAGCTCGTTGGCGTTAATTAGCAACCACTCCAACTGATTCAAATCTCTGAAACGAAATTAAGCTACACAGATGGCAACAATGCTCTCGTTCCGATAAAACAAACAAACAAAAAAAAAAAAAGAAAAAAAAAGAAAAATGTATCTTCGTCCGCCTCGATCGAGCGAAAAATTCCTTCCACATTCCTTTTCTCCCTTTTCTTTCCTTTCTTTCTCGCGGGCGTGATTTGAATAAATTCCCCAAAAGAGAAAGGAAAAGGAAAGAAACGATTCCTCGAAACGTATGATCTCGAACACGTGCGTAGATCGCAAGCTTAATTGTTCTATCCTTTGCATATAATCTGCGTGGCACGTTTGCTTAATCGTTTCGGCCAAGTCCGAGGAGCCGCTCGTTGCATCAACGACGAATAGAGCCAATTAACTAAGAGCCACTGTCGGAATGACAAACAGGATGTCCGATACGTTCTAGGAGGTTCGTGAGTTTTGACGTGTATTTCGGTGATCAAGAAAGTGTCGTACCGTAATGTTCGATTCAGACTTTGCAACTGATTGCGGCCGACGTGTAGATGCTTGACCAATGGCGGTAATGAGCCTGGCATCATTTCTGAAATCGCATTTCCGGCCAGCAGTAGATGCTGCAATGTCGGATTGTACTGAAAACGATAAAGTAAAAGTAAAATTGTGAAAAATAAATTCATCGTTTGGCTTAAAAGAAAAAAATAAGACGAGCGAGAAGGAGAGAAAGAGAAAGAGAAGCACAAAAGGAAGAAAGAAATAGAAATGAAATAGCGATTTAAGGAGATCGTATACAGCAACGTGATGAAATATAAGAAACGTACGACGTTTAATCAAGACTGACAGCCACACGATAAGTGTTAAAATGGATTACTGAAGCAACATTGTTACATAGCCAAGAGTTTTTTGAATCGTGCCAGAAGACATGTACAAAATATGTGCGGCCCGTATCTACTGAATTCGATCGATCCGAATCAACGACTGTTTACAACTATCGGTGTGATAAACATTTTTCTTTGATAATTCATCACTAGATAGATTGTTGTATCAAGCTTATCTGTTTTTTTTTCTTTTCTTATTTAGATACGTAAGCTACAATATTATAATATTTAATTCGTTATCACAATCGCACAATTTGTTTCTTCAACTACTTCAATTTCGCCTTTACTCCAAGTGATATAAAAGGTTTCTTAATTTTAGAAAAAAAATCTTGCTCGATGACTACTCGAAGAAAGGCTACTCTCAGGAGGTCTTCTCTTTGCTACTAAAATATAATTGATTTTGTTCAGTGACAGGTATCTCGTCCAAGCAACTTAAGATGTCTTATGAAACAGAGTAAAGAGTTTCCAAAAAAAAAAGAAAACGCGCGCGCAAGATCTTTGCATGTTCTGTTATTTTCAATTCGTGAAATATGCGATGCATAACGGGCGGCAAGGGTAAAGAGAACAAAATTTTCATAAGTAGCACGAATCGTCCGAGAAATGATTGGCGGACAAATTCTCTGCACGTGGCTGGTCACGTGCGCGACAAGCGCCAGCGAAACCCCACCATGCATCTACTAGCTGTCTTCCTCTCTTCGAGATGAATTGTTCGTTCATACGCCGGCTACAAATACATCGCGAAGTCACGCGTAATATGCAAAACGTGCTTAGAATGTATTATCTGTACGCCGTGCCGATTTAACGAGTATGATTGATGTAATGAGGCGAAGTAAGAAAAAAAAAAAAAAAAAAAAAAAAAAAAAAAAAGAAGGAAAACAAAGTAGCACAGAAAAATAAACGGGCAAAAGTAAGAAAAACAAAATCTTGATTCGATTGAGAAGTTGCCGCATAAATTCACTTAAATAATCCACGTGCCGATCTGCGACAATTAAACGTAATTTATCGTTCGATTCATTAAATTACACCAGAATACTATATGGTAATATGTATATGCAAATTTCGTTCGTACGTATAAGAATCATAACAATGAATAAGGGAAACGTTGAATGTTATTCGATGCAAATGAGATCAGATTTATCTCGACAGAAGTCAGTATTAAGAAGTTACATCAACTTTTCTAAGTTTAATAGTCATCGTTTAATGGCACGTTCTTGTCCTTCTATATACACGATCCGGTATTACAATTACCAATGATCCCGTTTTTCCCATTTATTTTTGTCTCGTAATGCGCGTAAACATGGATTTGCATAGAACACTGAGAGAGAGGGGGGGGGGGGGGAGAAAAGAAAAAACGTGCATATAATCGATGCATGTGACGAAGCCTACGTTGAATGATCACAGACACGTGTTTAGTATTTCCTTGATAAATTATTCGTGCACACGATGAAATGCATAACGAACGTAAGCTTCGATTCTTGAACACGTGCCGCGATATAGCACATATTTACTCGCGAGGATGCAAATGAACAGGTAATTGGAATAAAGAGATACTTATAAGTACGCGTGCATACCTTAAAGTCATCCGAGTCTATACGGCTTATCCGATTTCTGCTAAGATCTAGGGTCCTTAGCAGTGACAGATGCGACAGAATATGTCTCGGTATAGATGGTACTTCGTTATCCGCGAGACTAAGGTATTGCGTTCTTCCCAACCCCGCGAAAACATCGCCGTCCACGAACCTACAACAATACGAAGTCGTTTTTTTTCTTTAAATTCCGTTAGTCGAGCTAACAGGGTTCGTTGCGAATTAAGATTCGTCTCGTTTGTTTCGTTTCAGAACATTCTGCGAGCGCAGACGTTGAATCGCTGGCGAATCGTAATTGTTCGAAGACGAACGCGAGAAGAGAGAAAACGATGAGACATTTTCTTTCTTGCCTCTTTGAGAAATTTGAAATGTCCATCTGTCGATAGTGCGTTATCTTCGTACGCAGGCGATCAGAAAGCATGAGTAGCATGTGGCCCTTGTAAACACATGGCGATACATAGTCAATTCACAATGATTTCGAGAGTGAAATTATCGATTATTGTGTTAATCACGGACCAACGAAGTGGGCTGAAACTTTTTCGAGCGGTATTCGGATAAAGGATTGAGTTACATAAGGGGTACGGCTCTTATCAAACCATTTCGTTCGTGTCTTAATCAATTTCTATTACTAAAATGAAATAGAAGCAGAAGCCTCGCAGAAATATATTCACATCTTCTTGATAGTTGGTACACACTTTCTGTTTATTTCTTTCTCTCCTTTCTCGTTTGGTTTCACCAAATTTGCCGTGTAGTCACGTCTCTGCAGTCACGTTGGGCAGATCATTGTCGGAAAGAAGGGACCAGCGAGACGTTCAATTGTAAAACACAGGCGAGACACGATCATTATCGTACAATTATTCACATAACGTTGGCTCACAGCAGCATTTCGTTATTTAATTATTTCGGGACGATAAGCGAGGGCTTCTTTTTGATAACTCACTCGAAGAGGTCAGGCACGATTAAGATTTCATTCTCGCGCTCGTAGCTCTGCCTCTTTTTTTTTTCTATCCTCCGCGGTCAACGACGACCATGCGACGCATTCTCGATGATTATTCGTCCGTCAAGGACTTTTGTGTTCTTTCATCTGGCAACGAATCACCGTGTGTGTCAGGATAATCAAGGAAGACCAGTGTTCCTTCCTTTGTGTGCCGTTTATCTAGAAACGAGGAAATTCTCGGGACACGTGACACGGTTATCCTTAATCGGTAGATTCGTAATCAGACCTCATGGGCTATGTTACCGTTTGGATTCACATCTTCTTTTTCCGGTAAAATAATCATTCTCTCAAGGATCTTCAACAAAGGCTTGAATGTTATCTTCACCTATATAATCGTCGTGTCAATCGTAATCAGTTTCTGAGTACTTTGAGAGATTTCTGTCCCTTGTCCCTAAGTATTATTCAATGACTCTAAGCAAATAATATAATCTTTGAAAGATAAATCAGGACAATGATTATAGTAATTACTCCAGGTAGCGATATACACGCGTATCTGTATTAATGTGTTATAAATCGAAGAACATTGCTGTTATTCAATAGGCATACCTGCCATTGTTTCCCGTAAGACGCTTTGCATTCATTTCTTCGAATGATTCAAGAGAATTTTACTTTATTTGGAAGTTTAGTTTGCAAAATACTTTCATCAATTAGAATCGTTTCTTTGTTACGTATAAACATCTTTGCTCAATACTTGTAACATTTGTGAAGATATTGCTATTCATACCTCTTCTACAACTTATTCTGTATGTTCTTCTAGTTCTTAATGATGTGCCTGTACACAGATACGTAGGTACTTGTTACAAATCTTCTTTCATTCTTTCTGTTATATCTATATGCTTTCCAAATTTTCTTTTCTACTCAAATTTCGTTCTCTGTTCAAATTTCTTTTTCTACTTTGCTTGTGCTTCATACATTACGAAATTCGTGATGACATTTTCTCGGTGATTGAGGAACTTTGCGATCGAACAAGCAACGTAATTGTATAGCCAGACAATATTTATTACATTAAAAGCCAATATTAAAATCTTTTGATTAATAAATTTTGTTAAATAAAATCTCTTCTATAAAATCAATAATGATAAAACACGACAATACACATCGTTCGATCGGCTGAGATCTTCGTGCTGTAATTGATTTTTGCACGGTGAAAGTGTTCTAATGAAAAACAAACTGCGGATAAATTGCACAGCGAAGAAATAGTAAAAGACTTCTGGAAACTCGATCGTTGCTCGATCATTGTGTACGCGTAATTAGAGTAAACGTGGCTGATATCACTTATTCACTGTCGTCGTCACACAATTTCCTTCATCGACACGTCGAAATATCGTCGAGGAATTTCCACGAAATAATCAAGGAAAATTCCTTGAAACCACGAGATCGATACCAGTACAAAAGCGTTCGTTTTCCTCGTTGGTGTGTACCTCGTTTCAAAATGAATTCGAATCGAGTTGCGTTCGCTTCTGAAAGGGAAATCCTTAAAATCCCACGCGAATAAAACGCGAAGAAAAAATAGACGACCGAGTATATTCTTGAAACGTATACAGCCTGACCTAGCTAATGGACCATGGAAAAAGAATCAAACAATTCTGAGTAATTAGAAAGAAACATATTAACACATACGCGATATTTACGCATACACGTCGTGCAACATACGAGATAACGATTTCTTCATAGAGAAAGAAAATATTAAATAATTAACAAATGACGATAACCCCGATTTTATGCTCGTGTAAACTTACACTCACCCTAGACGATCGTGATTCAGCTCGAGCTTCGTGATGGACATCCGCAGTTCTTTAAAATCGTGCCGCGATATATCCCTGAGATTCGAATGCGAGACGCGCAATGTAATCTGCTGTTCGGTGGTGAATTTGCCTCTCAACGCTCCTGCCACTTGTTCGAAAGAGTCCATCCGCTCGCACACGACCTCGATTCGCTCTCCGTGTCCATGGTGGCCGGCATTGTTACCGGTTGTGGCAACAGCCGCGACGGCCGCGGCTGCGGCGACCGCCTGCGCCGGATTGATAACCGAGGTGGAGAACTCCTCCTGCCGGCAGGTGCACGGGCTTATCTCACGGCGAACGGCACAGTGAAGGCTCGAGCTAGCCGCCAACCCTAAAAGCGTGTAAAGCAGCCCCGACATGGTGGAACGTCGAAACGCGGCCGTTCAAACGGCCCAGTGGAAAGGTCCACGCTCGACCACAGAGGTGATCTTAGCCGGTCCGCACGGACCATGCGCACCCCTTTGACACCAACCACCGATCCGCTGCTCCCTCTCCACCGATCTCTACCGTTGTTTAACACTTGCACCGATTCTTACTGCGTACTAGAAGTACGGGAGTCACAGAGCACAAGTAATTTTATAATTACACAGTAATTTTATAATTACACGATAAAAAATTTATCCACTCGAAACGGAGATAAAGTTTGCGAAAGAATTATAGACTGAAAAAATCATAGGCGACTTATTTTCATTAGAAGATGAAAAAGAAACAGGAAAAAAAAAAAATAAGACTGACTGAACGAAATGAAACTGGCCGTGTACCAAGCGATAATAGCTAGGGGTTGGGAAGTTTATCTTTCCGATAGGTGTTATTAAGTGGCTCACGAACGACACTCGGTCACTCTGTTCACCGACACTAACTCTAGACTGACACTGGCCTCGGATACGACTGACAGCTACGTATTATCTATACTGTCGCGATCCACACCCCGGCGGGGTATATATATTCACTGCTGAAACGCGGGTGAAAGCTGGCTGCTGCGTATCTATCTCCGTTTTTCTCTCTTTCTTTTTCTCGTTCGTGCCGGACACGAAGGAGGCTTATCGTCGCCAATGGGCCTTCCTCTTGGCGCCACGAACGCGGTAACGGCATTAAGCCGCGGCGCGCCGCGCGAGACTTACTTATAGTCGCAACGTCGTGCCGTGGCGCGGCGCGGCGCCGCGCCTCCGGGAGGGACTCCAACTCCTCTCAGGACTCGTACATTATGTGCGTACACCGAGTCCGAGTCTCTCTTCTTTTGCCTCTTCTTTCGCTTTCCATCTGTTTCTATTCCTTTTTATCGGCCACCATCAATCTATTTGTTGCTTGCCTGTTTCGCACGGATCAGCAACCGGAAGTTGTCCCGCGCGTGCAAAACGAACCCTTGGTGTTGGTCGTGCAACGAGTCTATCGAGCACGAGTTCCTTGTAAGGACCCTTCGATTACGATACATCATTGACAAATAACGTCTTTCTACGACTCGTTCCGTGATTCACGCGCGAATATCGATGTCGTTCTCTCCAGACAATCCATTGAAAGTAATTCGTCGATATTGCAACCAGTAGAGCCTCTCTCCTGGTGTATCACGGCAAAGTGGCAGGACGGACAGAAAAATCAGTGCAACACCATCAAGATTTTCTTCGGCAATGGCACCAGCGTGACTACCGTGAACGTTTTCACGCGAGACGACGAGAGAAGTCCCGTCAATCTCCCGATGCTGGGGCACTGCATAAGCGAAGGCGGTGTTTGCACCGATAAGAAGAGCATTGCTCAACTTTTGACCTTTGCTTAGCCGCTCTGGGGTTCGCAAGCTGAAAGAAAATACCAGATATGTAATTCACTCGTAGATCCTTCTCCTTCTTCTTCGCTCTTTCCTTCGTTCTTCCTCTTTTTATCTTTTGCTCGCTTATCTCTTTCCCTCTCTCTGTCCCTCGTTGCCTTTCTTCCTCTGTTTCAATAGCTAGTGGGCGATGTATACGATTTGGACCTCAGAGAACGATTGAAACCTAAACCTTGAAAGCAAACTCGTATCATACTAAATCTTGAAGATTATTTGACGATCAAATTACATATATAGTATACTTTGACATCAATGCCCTATCTTTACATGTATTATATATATATATATATATATTCACATTTCCTCTTTTAGTTCATGACCGTTCACTCGTCAGATACTCGGACACATTTCTAATCTCAGCTACTGACTCGCGTGCGACATTAATTCCAGGTGCTTCTTACATTTTATGTGTCTATGCAAATTTATACACGCCGTAACGTGTACTTGTTAAAATTACATGTAATCGAGGAGCGTTTAACTTCGACGCATTAACGTGACGATATGCGAGTTATGCCAATTTTTGTTCGACATCTTCATTGTTTTCTTTTTGGTCTCATCTTGCCAGCGCGGCGAGATCATACCCTTTTTCCTTTAAATTGAGATTGTGGCTAAACACCATAGATATCCCAGGAGATGACGGATTTTGAACTAATAAAAACGCTCTCTTGGAATGTTGATTCAATAAAGCTTACAGATCTTCGTCGTTCTTTTTTTTTTCTTATACCTACTTATTATGTCTCTCGTGTTGAAGCGTGAAATATGGAAATCAGTAGGACAATACATGTATGTACCTGAAACTTTCGTGGTGAATATTTCAGTTATCACTGCATATTCCGAGACAGACGAATTAATAGGAACATTCTTGGAACGTTGACTTATTGTCAGCGAAACTTACATGTGTATTTCATTATTATCTTCTATGCTGCCACTACGCGCCGAAGATAATCCATGAATAAAACTTATCTGAAACATGTACATATATTCAATAAAATCTTGTCAGATTTGTATTTGGAGATGAACTTGTCATTTTTTGTATCTCTTATCGTGTCTTCTGTTAGGGTAGACTTCGAGTGAAAAAAAAAAAAAAGACCACCCTGATTCTTTCTACGTTGAACGTTATCGTTTTGCGTTGTCACGATAAATTTCGAGATAGTTAAAAAAATTCGGCTGGAATGTTAATCCGCCGAAATTCTCGATCTTCTTAATCGTTTTTGTCACTCTCCCCAACTTCTCACTGTCTCAGTACAATAGCCGTTACTAATTTGCATGATAATTTTCGATGTTTTTACTATCTTTCGGATTTCTTATCAGCTACGTTACAAAATTACATAATATTTCAATTGACATTGTTGTTAATTTTTCACGTGCGATTAAATGAATAACCTCTTATACCAAAGCGAGGAAAATTTCTCGACTCGAGATTCGTATTGTAGTTCGCTTATTGATTTGTAATTAATATTGATTATAGGCGATCTTTCAACGCTCTCTTTCGTTCATTGTAAACCGATATGGATTAATTACCGACCTCGACGATTGAACGCTTCTTCGTGGATCATTGAAGCGACAGTAAATATCTCAGGATTCGCGCGGCTCGCATTTCCACTAATCAGTTTCTATGAATTCCATCGGCGCGATGCATCATCGCAATTTTTGACGAGAGGAGAGAGGGACTTTTCTTCCAGACACGATTCTGTGCCACCTTTCTCGCATCATTAATGCCTTCCTCACTTATCGTGCCCTCTATCTGTTGCAGAAGCATTGTTTAAATGGAGCTCGCCTTGACAAACAGAGACAAACGAGAGAAACGCTTAAAGAGAAAGAGAAGGTTTACCCTCATTGTAAAATATTCCGCCTATAAAAGTGAGACAATTTGCATTTTATTGTTTACTATACTCTACCGTAACTGTCCTTTATAGTCACTCGGCATGCGTCATCGGACATTTCAAGGATGAAACGATATCGCGATTGATAATCGCCCGAGACAATAAGTTTCGATAGCTGGACACGGACGTAGTCTCCTCTGGAGAGCTATTTTGTTCCGAAACACGATTGGCGACCGATGTGCACCAGTAAAAACCGGTCATCTTACCACGTACCGGTGGCGTGCAAACGGGACGAGGACAAATCGGTGTCCCATCTTTCCACGGATGGCAAATTTGGGATCCGTGACCGCTCTTAATATCGCGGAGGGTTCGCGGGAGGGGTGGAAGGGTTGGCGAGGAGAAGAGTTGGACAAGAAAGAGGCAGAGGGAGGAGGAGGGAGATCAAGGCACGAGCTGCGGGGGGAACTAACTCGATGTGTTAGTTAACGAATGCGAGAATGCGGCCTGGCGCCAACACACACGTACACACGATTCAACGTGTCACGCACCACGCTCGCTACGGGCCTCGGTATTGGTTTATCTCTCCTACCAGCTTCCCTGGATCGCTCCCTGTTGCATAGCTTCGAGACACGCACGCGAACTTCTCGTTTTCTTGTCGTAAAAGAGAAACGGCTGGAAGGAAGAAAGAGGAAGGATGAAAAAGGAGGTAGCAGCCAGTAGCAGTTTAGAGGACATAAAAGCATTAAGGTAGCGCGCGAGATAGTCAATACTAAGTTGGCATCTCGAATTCTTTGGTAGGATTCGTTTCAAACTAGTATCTATGTGGAGCATGCATGTTCTATTTGTTTATCGTATTTATACGTACACCACATACACACACGTGGACAACGTGCGCGCACATGCATATACATACTCTCGAGTTGATGATAATCGATGAAGCAAACTCTAGTGTCCATCGTGTTGAATATCGAAAAGCAACAACATGATACGAAATGTCAGTCTTGGTACTTGATGCGTTTCAAGTGATAGTCATAACGATTAATTGGTTTTCTTTCAATTTCATATGTATATCCAAAGAATTATCGTCTTGTTTATGATACTCTCTTCTGCTGCATTCTTCATTTTCCTTCCTGTGTGTCTTCTCGTTCAGACGCCGTTCCGTTTTGTTCCTTCATTGTGTCCCATGTCATCCTGTCATTATTATTATTATTATGTAGTAACGAAGGTAATGAAGAGCTACGCCAAGAACGGCAAAGCCCGTTTTAGTAAAGCAAGTTATATATGTACTAACAGCTAACAGCGTGAAGCATGTTAAATCGAGATAGCTACATCATTACGAAGCTACAACTTTGGCTGGCGCCTGTCTATTTCTTGTTCCATAGGGCCAAGATATAACTCTTACTTTTTCTGTCATTGCATTGATACAGCGGTTTTCATCAGCGATCCAAGAACTGCATTAAAATCGTTGTTATAATTAAATACACCATCGAATTGAATGACGATATGAATCGTATGTTTACCACCGTATGTATTTAAAATATTCTATCAGTATATTTTTTCGTTACGGCTAGTTGTGTTGAAACGGCACAAAGAAAAACCGTATATTTTTGCAATTAATTGCACAACAAAATAAGAGTTTCAAGTGTTTATATATCCTTTCATTATCATTGATTCAACTGATGCAAGAAATGCAAGAAATTTCCCTTTAGGGTCATTAATAATGGCTCAGGAATTGACTTGGCTGAAAACTGATATCTCAGTATCTACTTATACAAAAATACAATATAATACATAAGCACTACGTCAGCGGTCGTTAATGTATCAATCCTTAGCAATCAGATCGTATCACGATTGGTGCAAATACATATTATATATACGTGTGTATATATATATATATATACACGTATCAACAGATATAGGTCGCAAAACTATAAGATTGAATCGAGGATATCAAATTTACCAAATTGAAGGTTGAAAATTGCAACAGTTTGCGTAACTGTTTCATTTTTGAGGGATGTTGAGAGCCTCTGGCTATGTGTGTTTATGATGAGATTTAAAGGAGCATCTTTCTTTCCTTCCTCCAACACGGGAACGGGTGAATCTCTTGGTTTTTCATTTCTATCGGTTTTATTGTGCCTTTTTCTGCTTGGACGCTGGGGCGCCAGGACCCGCTACGGTATGAGACGGGACGCGCCGTCACTTCCTGCATACAAAACTGAAGCACCATTAACATTCTTCTGCGGTGCACGATCGGCCGTATTATCTTCTGCCGATGTAAGTACGTACACGTGTATACACGCATACAAAGGAACGCGTGTACTCGCATACTCGCGTGGCTCAGTCGATGCCCTAATCTGAATAATGCGATCGGCCTGCCATGAGTCTTCTGTGCTTCTCTTTTTCATCTTCGTACGGATCACGCGATGTCCATGACGAGTCGATGCCTCGCTTTTGATATGTGTTTGCTGGTAACACTCGAATTATTTTCATTTGACCGCGACAAGATGCGTGGATCGGTGCTACTGGTGCAGATCAATACAGATGTTTCGATGTCTGTGTTATTCTTCGACCTCGCATCTTAAAGCAACACCTTAAGGTAACAGCAAGATCGAAAATAAATGAATTTGGATATAACGTGCATTTGGATATATTTGTCCTGATATACTTAAACGATGCAACTTCTTGCTTCTTCCCAATCATTTCGAATCAGTAGAAATAGAAAAAGTTTAGATTCAACTATTTTTCTTCTGCATTTGTATATGCCAATCGAATCATACGGACAGTCTAAGAAGAACAAACGTCAACGTTGTATTTCCGGGTGATTTCAATTATCAAGAGGAGGTTATTATTTTTAAGAAGAAAATGTCAAATATACAAATAACTTACATACAAGGTATTTTGAATAAATAATCTTGTTCAGATAACGTAATGCCAGATATCTGTAAAGAAAATACTCGCGTTAATTTAATGTACAATATCGAAACTTTTATTAACACGAACTCCTCTCATCGTTATTTTTCACTTACGTGAATTCTATGATCAATCTAACCGTTGATTCTGATACGTTAATTCAAATCGACGAAACCAGTAATCGATTTATATTTTGTTGTTTGCTTATTTCAGTAGTGTCATCTAACAGATGCCGGAGAAACTTTGAGACAGGTAGGTAATGCAGAAATATGATTCTTAACAATTCTGGATTCTGTTCTATCTAGGGAATAATTGAACCGATAGATTGGTAGCGCTTGTAGGGTCACTGGTAAAGCGAATTCTGGGTAAAATAACGTGTATCATATCGTACCGTTGCTGTAAAATTTCATCGGTGAGTTCACGAAAAAAACGATTGCACGATAAGAACGGAGTACTGGAATCAATTTAAGTAACTTCCTTGCATTTTCGAATCGATTTGCATTAAGATCAACTATTTCCTTATACTTTGGATATCGAATATTTCTCCCTGGTACTAGCTGCTAATCGAGTATCGTTTACAGTCTTGTATCTACGTGTCTGCGTGAGTGTAGGAGAAGACGATTCTATATTACACACCTCCGTTTTAATACTATTGTTCATTTTGTTGGATTTTAGTTATACAGTAGCTGACAAGGCCGATTAAAAATGATTGACCTTACGGTAAAGACTTTGGATTCACAAAATCATGCATTCTCCTTGGAAGACGATGTAAGTACTCCCTTTGCCATTTTTATAGAGCACTATTTTTCTTTCCTGTGTTTATAATTAACATTATTGTCGACTCCAATGTTCTTAATAGCGTGCCTCATGAGTATTTATGTACTTGCTCATATTTTTATTTTTAAATATTCTATATTCTAGAAATAATTATCATAGATATGATTTTTTTTTCTTTGAGCATAAGCAATTAATTACCGTCCTTGTGGGGCAACATTTCTTCTTCGTATTTTTGTGATTATTTTTATGATTTATCATTTGTAACATACAGTTTTTTATTTCTTATGTCGATTTTTTTGACAATTTCAGTATATATTATTAGATTTAACTAAATTGTTGTATAATAAATATAATTATAGCACTGGCAGAATTATAGTATCTTCTTTATATTACGATATTTTTAATGTAAATAACAGTTTACTATTGTTAGAAATAATTAGAAATATTAAGCATGATGTAACAGAGCTGATTAATGTGAAATAATTAATATAAAAAATATTTATTTTTATATAATTATGCAAAGACAGTAATTCTTGATAGATTTGGAACTGTCACTATAAAATGTTGTTCTGTCATAAATATTGCTATTAAAATTAAAAAATAATTGCATTTATCTAAGAGAAAACGAATGACTTGGATTTTTTATATAGCAAATTACAGTTCGAGGTTTCAAAGAATATATAGCAGAAACAGTAGCAGTTCCAGCAGATTCACAAAGACTTATTTATTGCGGTAGAGTTCTGCAAGATGAGAAAAAATTAAATGATTATGGTAAAGAAGTTTATGCTATGTTATACTTCCAAATATAAAATATAAAGTCGAGCTTTTCATTCATTTATGATCTTTTATAATTATAATTTAGATGTTAATGGGAAAGTTATACATTTGGTACAACGTGCACCACCGCAGCCTGGTCAACGTGGAAATGATGGAGGTCAAAGTCAAGGTCAGAATCATGGATCACAAATGTGGCAAAATCCACAAAGAACACATTACCGACTCACTCGTGCTCAAATGCATGGTAATGCTATGTATTTGGGTGCAATGTCAGTACCAGCTGAAATTGTGGAAGGACATGGTACTAGAACTAATATATATACCTAATATAATTTATAATTTCAAAATTTCCTGATCTTTTTATTATTTTTTTTAAATCTTTCCTATAAAGTTTTTTTTTATTAGGGATTTTTTTATTTCATTTAATAGGGTTACCAGTACCTCAGTTCAGCAACAGTCTGTCTAATGGTCGATTAATTGCTGCAAGACACATGCTTGAACGCGCGAATCGCCTTATGGATCGACTTGAAAGTCCCTCTCAATCTGCTAATCTTTCCGCAGCTGAAAATAATCGACCACCATTAAGTCAATTGATGCAAGAATCAGAATTAGATGCAGAACAATAGTGAGTAAATGGAGAAAAAGGTTTTATAATTATTATGAGAAGTAATAAAATATATTGATAAATTATTTAGTCTTTTCAGTAATAACGAAACCACAACAAATGGTGGTGCCCGATTGGCAGAGGCCGCTGCAGCTGCAATAGCAGCTGCTTTATCTGCAGCTGGAGCAAATAATGTTACATTACTTAGAGGTTTGTATATAAAAAGTGTGAATAAACAGTCCGAGTATAGATCATTACATATAATTGTTATCTGCGAATATAGGAAATAATGACGAAAATACTGAATCAAGACCAGCAAATGAAACTAATGAAGAAAATCAACCAGATACACAACAGCCACAACAATCTCAACAACCACAATCTGAACAACAAGGTTCTACATCAAATAACGATGAACAATCTAATCGACGATCATCACAACAGTAAAGATCTTTTCATACATAGTTATTATATATACATAATTATATAATTTATAAATCTGTTATTTTTAGACTTCCACGTCCTCCGCAATTGGCAGAATTATTGGACCTATTAATTGATACACAATCTCGTTTACGACCTCATACAGAACGTTATTGCAAACTTATGCGTGATGATCCTGTATTAAGTTCAGAAGTAAGTAAATAGTATTCATAAATGCGTATATGAATAGTTTGGAATAAAAAAATCATTTGTGTTTAGGGAAGACGTGTTGAAGAAACTCAAACATTTGTAAATGGTGTAAGCGAGTGTTTACATTATATGTCGCACGCTTGTCATGCTTTAAGCGATATAATTGTCGATATGAGTCAACAGCCACCCAGGAACTTGCGATGTAGACCAATCATTATTCAACATTCAGCTATTTTACAGCCGGGTATACCAATCCAGGTAGAGGTGAGGATGAATGACAGTATTTCAATTTTGTTCCAGGTGTAATAAAATTATTTTATATCATGTTTCTATCAGGCACATATTAGTTTACATGGTCGTAATGCAAATAATAACAATGGCAATGAAGAAAATGGAGAATCTGCAAGTACACCTACTCAATTGGAAACAAATGAACCTAACACCGATGAGGCCAGTCAACAACAAGAATCAGAATCTGGTACTCAACAACAAGCTGAACAACAACAATCACCATTAGATTCGACACAATCTCCATTTGGTATGTGCAACAATTATTTCAAAAGACAAATTATTTAGATAAGACAGTTAGGATTATGTTACAGGTACAGTGTTTAACTTACCTAATAATGTTGAAGTATTGATGGAAGTTAGTCCTGAAGGTAACATAGATACTCCACCTGGAAATGAACAGCCTCAAGCTGGTGAAAATAATAATAATAGCAACAATAACAACAATAATGGCGGTAAGTTTTCACTAATAGTTTCAATATTTTAATTTATGATATTTATCTTATTCTATTATTTATAGGAAGAATAGATGGTACTACTGGTGCATTTTCCTGGGGTTCAGCTCCGCCTCCTGATTTCATACGAAATTTGATGCACGCTGTTGCTGGTCACATGGTACAAGGTGGTCCAGCTAACACAAGAATTATAACTCGAAATCCTCTGACAGTTAGTCAATTAACTGTTGCATCAGTTGATAGCGGAAACACAAATGCTGGACAAAGTACACAAGCACGGTATGTTTATTACGAAATGTTATTAATCTACATATTTATACTTTTAATTTATATATATATGATATTCTTTACATATTATAGAAGCAACGTTGGTACTCATCCCACTACAGCAACACAAACTAGGAGTACATCGCGTCCACATGTATTTCATCAACAAACTCATCCTTTAGGCGTTGGGATGAGTATAGGACAAGCATTCGACTTCGATCCATTCCTTTCTTGTAATTCGCATCATGTCCGTCGCACATCGACTACAACTTCTAGTACTATTACATCTACGTCACAAGGAACACGAACAAACCAAACCATGTCTGAAACACAATCCCAAGCACAAACAGGTATATAATTAAACTATTGTTACCTGTTAACTATTATCCTATATTAATGATTTTATTTTATACTACAGCTACAACTTCGAGTGCCACTAGCAATACCAGCTCTACAAATACTACAGCATCAACGACATCACAAACAAATCCGATCTACGATCCATTAATGTATTTACAACAACAAATTTTAGGAGGTAATATGTTTTAGAAAGTATTTTTGACATTTTAAATGAAGATTTTTAAATAACATTTTTAAGATTTTTAAATAACATTTAAAAATTTTTGTTGTTTTAGATTCTAACTCACCCGATGGTCTTGGTAACATGGTGCAAATACGTACCGGTGGAAATATTCGTGTAGGAATTATCAGAAATGGGTGCGTATTATATGCAGAATTAGCTAAATACAACATTAATTTTTATATTATTCTTCAATATTAGCACCGGTAATTCTGCTGGAGGTGATTTAACTCTTGCGGATTTATTAGAACGTAGAGGTATTCAAATGAGTCTTTTTACGTCTCAAGATTCTGAAACTGCAGAAAATTTCCTCGTAAATTTATCTGTACTAGTGGTAAATAAAAAATATTTTTATGAAATTTATATGAGGGAGGGGTGCTTGTTTTAAGTTCTGAAATAATATCTTTAATTATTTTTTAGGTACAGAATATGACATTAGAAGGATTAATAAGATTACGAATTGGTCAATCAGAACCAATTTCTCATCTTAGAAGACCATTACAAGATTTCTTCCAATATTCTTTCCCAAATGTTGCACCAGAGACACTTCAGGAACAAGCTACTGAACGATTGTTATCACAATTAAGACCACATTTCCAGGCTTTATTAAATACAGAAGAAGAAACTAATAGTAGAAACGGTCAGCATGTAGATATTTGTGCTACTGTTGAAGCTTTACTTCGTCGTCATATTAGAGATATACTACAACATCTGTTTAATAATGGTGTGTAATATTGTACATTAACAAAATATTTAATTTTAAGATATTATACGTTATTTTTTGTTTCAGATATTGATGATGCTAGATTTGGACAAGAAATTTTCAACACCGTGAATAATATGGGTAGACAATTATGTGCAGTACTTCGATATTCTATTCGTGGTGGACAGGCAGGATTAGAATTAATTGCATCACGTTTTGTGGTATGTTACTTATACGTATCTAATTAAATAACAGATATATATTTTTTTACTTTAATAATTGACGTTACTCTTCAAATAGACCGAAATGTTAGAGGGTATTCATCCTACAGTACGTCGATGGATGCTGAACGCATTTATTGTTCAGTTTCGTACTTATTCTTTACGAGTTACACAACCTCCAGATTCAGAAATTATTCCACTTTTAATATATAAAGATGCACCTTCTGAAGCAGCATCGGTTCCATCAGCTCCAACACAACCTTCACAACCACAATCCGAACTGGAGGCAAGTTACACACAGTACATACTTTTACGACTAATGTGTAAATGAAATAAATCTAACAATTAGATATGATTTCAGCCCATGGAGACAGAAATTGTACAAGAAAGAACAACTTTCGAAGCATCTTCTCTACCAGAAGATAGGGAAGAAATTCCAGAAACGTTCCCAGGTCATGAAGCATTACCTTCAGTATGTATACACCTATTTATGTATGTGAATTTTTATTATTACCATACACAAAAGTTATATAAAAAGCTATTCTTTTTTTAGGATTGGGTACCAATAATTGCTCGCGATGGATTAAGGCAACGACGCCAGTTACAAATGCAAGGAATAACAAACGGTGGTGTAGCAACACTTAGTGATGCTTACTTAGGTACACTACCCACTAAACGACGCAAACTTATTGAACAGCAAAAGCCACGATTATTAGTTAGCCCTACTCCCAATCATTCAGCAATAGCAGCATCTATGGAACGTTTAGTGAGAGAGGGTGTAACTCGGGCAGGTGTTGAGGAAGTCGAAGGTGCTGCAATTGCTGTAGCTGTAGATCCTGGTGTTAGGCGTGCATTTGGTCAAGCAATTAGAGATTGCTTGAATCCACATAGACTAGGAACACCAGATTTTCCAGATCCTTTGCGTTTTCCCAATGCCACAAAATATTTTGCTGACCAAGATAGGCCACCAAAATAATAATTACAAAGAGAAAACGGTTCGTAATGGCTTAGAGTATTTATAAAGGAGAAACCAGGTAGTGTCTAAACAAAGTGAGAAATTGCAATGACCAAGGAATACAAAGATATATTCTTAACATATAACCACAAATGCTATTAACTCTTATTATTGTATATGTGAATTTAATGCAAATATTTTCAAATACCACACATTACATTATTTGTTTAACCGATGTAGCTTGTAGTTTTACAAAACGTACTATTGACTTTTTAATATATAAATATGTTAAATAATTATACGTTACGTACATATTATTGAAAATAGCGAAATTTGGCTACACTTGCTCTCTCCCATTATACTCTAAGCATCGAGTGACCCCAATCTGATACTATAATTAAAATACTACTTTCATATTAAACTGCGTTTTCTGTAGAATTATTGTTATGCAAATGAAATGTATTCTTAATCAAATGACACCTGTCTAGGTATTATACAGATTGTAATGTATTATCTTGCGACCTATGCATATTGTGGGATATTTGAGTGTTGTCGATATTAAAATCCTTTTAATAACGATGATACTACCAATCGATATTAATTACTACCTTATAGTCCAATATTTGATTTGTGAGAAAAGGAAAACAAGTATGGAGTTATCCGTGGAGTAAAAGAAAATTGACTAAATGCGATTTAATACCTCTCATTATAATCATGAATTATCTAAGGCTATAGTTTGTACTACACAAGCTTTGTTGAATAATACGTTATAAACCATAAAGTACCATGTTTCTTTGTAATTTATGTAGATAATTTTGATTGTGATGCGTCATACTAAATAGTTCAAAAGCAGACTTTTTATACGAACGAAGGTACTGTATTTTAATTCTAATGATCTATACAAAAAAAAAAAAAAAAATGATTTTAATCTTGCACCGGAATTTCATCAGTTTTAATAAAAAAAAATCAAGTATCGAGCCTAATGCAAAAGAAAGATAATTCCAAATTATACATTTGTATTAATGTTAAGGGATAATCGTATATGAATATTTGATAGATAGTATATAATGTTAATAAAGTAATTGAAATAATTTCATGTGAATATGATTTTGAATTGAGAAGCCATTGAATTGATATCAATATGATTAGAACAAAAATAATTCGATCCATATATTTTTTATCTTTTCAAAATTATTACACAAAACATACTTCAGATTTTATTTCGTGTTTTCTTAACAATGTTTTGAGATTTTTAATCCATTTGCCTTTGTACACGTTTCCCGCGTTCTCCTTAATATCACAATCCATGATTTCGCATGGATGTCAGCCATAAGCATAGATATTTTCATATTCGTACATCGATCATATACTGCCTAGGGGCTCGAAAAATGCGTAAAATATGTTGATTCGTTGAAACGTATTAAAAATGTTACTTGTCAACCGATAAACAATTGCAATTAGTTTCATGGAAACAGATTTGCTAACGTTATCTCAGTAACGCAAGAACTACAACTAAATAGTCCATCTACTAACTATTAATAAAATAATTTGAAACATTTATATTCTACTATAGAATTGATCAGAATTTCACAGATGAACATGTTGTGTACAGAGCAAATATTTAACAATATCGTCGCGTTATTGGTAGTAAACAAAGTATTCGTATAGAATTTATTGAAAACGGTGTAAAAACGTTTTCCAAACAAATTGGATTACACGCAACAGGACAATATCGATCGTTAATCGTTGGAATTTCAAAGCACGAATCGGGCTCTCGGCAACCATGCGAAAAGTTGAAAACATTATGCCTATCTTTACCAGAGACTTGAAACATTCATTGTCGAAACAACGCGTTAGATTGTTTGACGATGTTAATTGTTTGTTCACGATAACCAGACCAATGTTAACGTCCGATGCATTAAGACGCGATAAATCGCTTATCGCATACAGAATAAACGGAGATAAATGAAATCGATGTTTTTCTTTTTTTTTGCCGTGTTATGAAATTAAACTAGAATCTGGAATCACTGAAATCTCTTTCTCGTAAACCCTAGAAAAGAAAAAATTAATAACGTGATTATCAGGTACGTTATTATTTCCTCGAAATAGAATTTTCTCGTTCGATAAAATAAACCTCAATCGTATTAACTTGTACGACAGAATGCAACTCACGGGAGGAACCGCGTTTAGTATTTGGAAACAGTCTCGTGAAAGAAAGCGAAAGTAAAAGGATGATTTAATATGTAGCAAGTGTTGACGGGAGGTTCGCGCCCATCTTTTTTGTATTTAGTGAAAAAAGAAAGGAACGAATGAAAGAAGAAAAAAGAAAACGAATTTCCCTTCCTATATGTCCCCAGTTGCCACTCGATAATAGGCGCTCGTTAATATCGCGAGTGCCACTCTTGAATATCGAGAAGAGATTCCTACTACCTTCCCACCCTTTTTTTTTTCAGCATTTTACCATGCTAACCCCCCACTCTCTCCGCTGCTGTTGCTCGGTCTCATTCCAGCAAGCGTGGCGGGCAATTTCTCTTTTTCGCTCGCCGCAGCGCGAGCGTCCGTCGGATTAAGGCATAATGAAATTACGAGGGTCACGTCATTTTATAAAACGATCGTTAAGCGTCGAGAGTGTTCGCTTGCCGTGGCTCTCGTCGAAATGACATCGCATTGAAAACGATCGATCGAAATCTCTGAGCGAAAGAGCTTGGGGTGATGGAACGTTCGGTTGTGACGAAGAGATAGAAGAGAAGGAAGAGGAAAAGGAACAAAGAGGGGGGTGGGGGGGGGATGAAATTTTTGTAGTGGGAAAGAGGAGAGGGGGAAAGAGTAGAATAAGTAGAATTTTATGTACAACAGAAGCATGCTAATAAATCGGACCTGGTTGTAAAATCGATTATTAATTTAATCCGGACATTTTCACGATATATATATATATATATATATTGGAATTCCCTAAAATATCGGAGCTAAAGCGGTGTGCATTGACATAGGTTGTTATGGATGCTTCGTCATAAGCGCACACGAAATTTTATGAACACGCGCGCCTGTTAACATTCCATGTGCCAAAATTCATTATAATTTATTGATACATCAAATATATCCGCCACTCTCGCCCGTTCGTTGCTCTTCATAATAACGAGGGAGCCACCGGCGTGTATGTGTGCACGCCGGCCGACGGGTATATATTTCAGTTTTCCTTTCGTTTTATTTTCAATCGTTCGTACGCCGTTTCGCGCATCGTAGCCGACCGCGTCAATTTTTCGCGATTCCGTCAATGAGCGTGAGAGGTCGCCAAAATAGGCCGTCCGCGTGTTGCTGCATTCGTAAATACACTCGTAACGACACACGTAATTGGTCGCGTCAGTGGCGTGTATTCGTTATATGTACGCATATATCCGGCATCGACGCGACGCAATTATTCTCAAACCTTCGTTAATATTATTTCTCAGCATTATCAAATATAGGGTGTTCATCACCTAAAACGTCAGTCGTCTTTTCAGAGTCATTCTCGAATCTTGTTGTAATTACGTTAATTTTCTCTTCCGTCGAATAACGCATTGCAAACAATACAGTTACAAATTTGGCGGTACTATAGTAAACATATTTTGTTTACAGGCATAATATGTTGTCTTCCGTCATCCGTTAAAGTTTGCGATTTCAGTGGAAATAAATGTCATATTTAACCTTCAATTGTAAGTGCTAAAGGTTATTTCAAGGTCACAATAGCTCACATTACCTCACGTTCACATGAAATGTAATGTCAGCTGTAAATATCAATGGTATTAAAAGCTCGAAAAAAGATAACCTTCTAATGAAAATATCTTTTACACTGTATTCGATACCATTTGAATTGAACATGAAATATTTTTTTATTTAGTGAAATGAGACATTCAGGTAATCTATATCAAGTGAAAATTGACTAGAAAATTCGTTCGTTTCAAAATGGATCGATAGATCTGCTGCATTGTAATCTCTCAATACACGACTCTCAATATTCGTGCAGCTTCACGAAATAGAATAACTTCATTTGAAACTGAAAACATCTTTAATAAATTTGTCCACTCGATTTTTTTTTTTTTTTTTTGTCTTTATACGGTTATGATCAGAGAAAAATAATAAGCATAATAACTATGTAGCTTCATAACACCGCAAGATCAATAACTTGAATATTCATCTCGACTCGAATAAATCTACGACAGTATTCTAGAACAGAAAACAGTGGTGAAGTACATATAATATACGTATAATATATATATATATATTTCTATGTATACTACATGAAGGTGAGGTAGTTCGGTAATTCGACGAAACTTTTTCACGGAGGGATAACACCTTCGTTGCACTTGTCAACGAAACGGTTGGGCTACCAGGAACGATATCATCGAATGGACCTCCGGCTGCTCGTTGTCGCGGCTAGGAACAAGAGGATTTTTCGAAGTCTGGGAGCGAAAGGCGTTGGTATTAATTGGCTGGACTAGTCCGTGTGGAGTGGGCCGACTACACGAATGGCACACTACCACCAATGTCGCGACTATCACCACCACCAGCGCGCGACTATCATGGAGCAACGCTATTCTCTGCGTTCGAACGTTTTTCGTGGTCCGTGCCACGGAAATGTTCGTTCATTTGGTGACCATCCTGCCTCCTCTCTTTCTTCTTTCTTCCGCGACCCCTGGGGTCGTACCCTCTTCCTTCTTCGACCCCTACCCATAGTGCGGAACTCTCGAGGAGACCAGCGGGAGTATAGGCCGCGCTCGCTTGTAGCCGTGTCTATACACACGTATACTGGCGCGTAGAAAGGCATAATAAAGGTTGGGGAAACAGTCCACGCGGACTTAACGGACGGCTGTCAGCGCGTTCCATATGGAAGCCAGTTGGTCGGAGTTACTGCGCTCTTCCGGCAGGATTGGCCTTTTTCGTTCTCGATTACGCCTCTTTATTCGCCCACTGGGCGTCGCCTCGGATTTTTCTGCGTTCAGGTTGGCTGCAGTGGTTGACTCGCGTCTCTTATAGGCCGACGTGGTGCTTTTTCACCGAGCGGACGCAGTGAGAGTCCGCGCGGACAAACCGAGGCCGAGGTTAAGACGCCTTGGCAATCAAGTAGAACCTCGGGCAAGCAGGGGCGGTTATGGGTGGTTATCGGAAGGGGGTGCACCAGCCGCACCGGTATAGAGAAAGAGAGGATGTACGAAGGCGGCCATATTTAGAGAAGGAAATCAGTGAAGAGCATTTCGCGCCGTGTACCGTGTTCAACCGTCTGTCCTTGTTTGGCAGACGATACGCTCCATCCCCCTTTCCTTCTCCCTCGTCTTCGTCCCTCGACTATCGGTGTCCCTCGTTCCTTCTTTACGCGTCTCAACATACCGCTGTGTCTGCGCCCGTTGAATTTTGACGGATGAAAAGTAACCGAGGTCGTCAGAAGCGGCCGAGGTTTCTTCTCGCCAATGGGGAATTATGGTTTTGCGGCAGCGAAGGCGTCTCGACGATCATCGGCACGCTAAAAGACGAATCGAAACGTTGTTCCTCGCCACGAGAGGAGAGTTGCGCACTCTCAATCTCGTTCTTTCTTCTTCTTTCTCCTTTTTTCTTTCTCTCCCCCACTCTCTTTTTCTCTTTCATCGAGACCGTCCTTTTAGCACGCGCGTTACCCCTTGGTACTTTACGCACTCCAAAGAACTCGTCGCTTCGTATCTCTCGTCTCGACGATCAGTTTTTATGGAAGCGAGAGAACAGTTCGCGGTGTTTGTTATTAACCAGTGTATAGGGCCGCGACGTAGCAGCAACTCGAGGAACTTTACTGTTCCTGCCGTAGTAAATAGACCGGCGCATCGGGAAGCTATTGTCACGTATTTGATCCGACGGTGAGACAGAAATGTGCTTCATGATTTTTCATAGGCTACAGATCAAGTCGACGGTTCTTCCGTGACGTCTGTGTGTGTATGTACGCCTCATTGTCAGTGTCGCGTATTCGTAAATCTTCGAAAGATCATCCTCTTCGTTAGCCATACCTCTCCGATAACGAACTCACATATACACAAATTCATAGCAAGTGCTCAATGGCGTAGAAAGGATTTGGTACGACGTTCCGTCGAATCAAAGTTA